CCCCCGGGGTCGGCGAGCGAAGCGAGCAAGGGACATAGCCCCCTAGTAGTCCTAATGAATTTTAAGATATTTATGGATTTGGGTTGTGTTGATGGGTCGCAGCGGAATATTGATGACTGCAATGCTTGGAATTTTTCAAGTCATTTGTATTATGAATTTGTTTTTGTACGGAAATGTGTAAAAATTAATTAGGACACATGATTGTTCGACTTGAGAAAACATTCGAAAAAGGAATGTCAATAGCAATTGGCATCGAACAGATAGAATTCTCGGGAGGATCTCGGCATTTCTTGTGAAATTTTCCCACATGCAAAGGAAGCGTCAATAAGAATATTGTATAAGTTCATTTGAATAAGTAAGATCTTTTTTAGAATGACGATAATTTTTTTCATTATTTATTTTGCAGAATTGACGAATGAATTCCTTGTTTGGAGTCCGAAATGCCACATGTTGTCGTTGAACCCTCTGCATTCATCGATAACTCAATATGTAAAGAAACTCAGATTTGAACCATGTTCCAACGGTCCTTTGCTGAGCTCCATAAAGCGGGATGCGAATGGATTATTCTCCCTAGTCATTGATGAAAATGTTGCGACACGTTATGATGATCATGTCTGCTGCTGGGCCCCAATCACAAGACCTGTCGCCAAGAAACCTCTGACGGAATATCCGGACGATTCAATCGAGTGAGTATCTCTCCGATGTCAATGAAATAAATTCCATAATGTGGATTAAAATGGCTACTACAGTCCACTCTCGGAATGAAATGCCTTTCGATAAGATACCTCGCGCGCTCAAGGATTACTGGGACTCTCTGCACCTACCGCATCGCATCTCGAATATTGTTTGGCCTTGAGTGAAGACGAAACCAAACGGTTGGAAATTACAAAATTAATAAAAAACGCTGAACGGTACAATTTACTAACAATGTAATTTTAATTTATTTTAATGAAACAGACAAAACACTTGTGCACAAAATTTACACTGGTTCATCAAAAACTTGGATTAATTGAATCTGAGAGATGAATAATAATAATTTGTATTTAAAAATGTTCGTTATGCGGAGTTCGTTTCCGACATAAGCTCCGAGATTAAAATTAATAATCAGATGGTTCCGCGTTAAAAGTAACTTGGAGACTAACTTTTTTATTTATTTTTTTTTATTTTTACAAAATGTGGACTTATATACAGTTTGGTGTATGTATTGCCGAACGAGTCGGGGTGGATACAGATTGGTGGATGAACGAGAGGGAGAAAATTCAAGGATTTGATTGGTTCGGCATCGTAGACAAATTGAGGAATGGAGTGGGAGGAAATAAGTAGCGATGGAGGAAGAGGGGTGATAGTTGGGGCCTTACTTGGGCCGTAGGGGTCCGTACGACGTTCGTGGAACAATAGGTAACTGTAGTAAAGTCATAAGCGACCGTAATAAATGATGAAATAAGAGGATATAACCAAAACGAACAGAAGAAGAATAAATGATGAAAATCGCTCTGAATGTAACAAAATTAGTATTGAGCTGTGTATTTTGAAAATAAAATGAAGAGCAGATTTAATCAATACTCGGGATTTCACGTTTCCAATGAAATTAACAATGAAATAATCCTCGGGATTTCACAATGAAGAAAAAAAATGCATGAATACTTTCAGAAAGAAAATTAAAACTGGAAAATTTCGAGAATTCAAAGTAATAATGTAATAAAGTGAACAATTTTGAGATTTTGGGTTAATAAATGTAATGGCAAAGTTTCTAGTACAAAGGGATGTCTCGACTATGGGGAACTACGCATTCAACTTGAAAGAAAATAAGTCTAGACATCAGGGAAGTTGCCTTAAAGAGGAAAATAAAACTGTAGTTTTCGAGAATATTCGATAATAATAAATATGACATCTCCAGACATTTCAGAGTGGAAAAATTCAGAGAGTGCCGGGGAAAAAGAACAATAATTCTCGAATAAAATTATAATAAATAAATCGAATCTCACGAAAAATATTCCGCGACGGAACAAACATGAAGGTCACAAACTGAAAAATCTAATGATTCGAAGAGTCACACGTTCTCAAGTGTCAAAACTCCCTTTCTACAATGCACTGACTCTTCCCTTTGACTTTCAAGACCGTTTGTTCAGAGTTTCTGCCACTTCGGGTTATGTTAGAGAAAAAAACTTGAAAAAGGTCAAATAACATTATAGTAATTAAATACATATTGAGTCATTGATTTGTGACGAAATTCCAGGTGAATTCGCCACTTGCTGAACTCCAGGGTATCTCTACATAAAACGAGAGAGAGAGAGAGAGAGAGAGAGAGAGAGAGAGAGAGAGAGAGAATAAAATTTATAAATCGTTATCTTTTCGGCGCCATAAATTTTTATACGAAAAATTAGAGCTACCGGTTACCTTAATTTGACCTCAGAGCTACCTTAAATTCGGAGAAGGTACAAAACTGGTTGGCTGCCGCGTGAATCGATTCCCTAAATTTTTAGAATAATATTCACTAATCAAATTCATAAAATAAGCCAACACCAACTCACTCCACAGTTTTGTCAAGTGTAATTTATACGTTTTTCAAATTTTTTTTTTCTTGAAATTTAACCCGTCAACACTCGCGCTATATGACTTTCTCGCAAAAAATTTTAGGGTATAGGGAGTATAGTCAAAAAATTGAGATTTGAAACCTCTTGACTGCCTCAAGCAATTATCCCTCTTTCCTCTGGGGTCAATAAAAACCGTCTAGCATGTTTCAATAAATTATAGAAAAATATTTTATCAAGTTCGGACGAGGAGCGTGTGAGATTCTCTCGCGGCGCGAGTAAAGTCGATCGTGTGGCCCGCTCGCATCGAGCGGTTCCGTGAGGCGTTCGGTCATACTCTTTGTCTAACTGGTGTGCGCAATGCGCCAAAGATTCATTCTCGGCACCAGTAAAGGTTCTCGGTGAAATAGCACGAGTGCTGACGGGTTAAGGATGTTTAACCAGTATCGATAAATGTGTTTGTTTTTTTCATGGTCAAGGAAAATTCTGTAATTCTGCTGACAGCAGAACATATAAAACTAACTTTTCCAACGTTAAAAAAAATTAATCGCAATAGTCTCGGCAGAAATAACTAAACTAATTTTTCCTCATACACGGGCTCTTATGAAATTTATGTTCAAATTGATAATTTACCTACTAGAAGACTCTAAAAATAGAAATAAAAATAGAAGGCAATGTGTGAAATCATACTGAATTCAATGGCCACAGAAAAATCTGGGGTACCCGGGCAAAATAAGGAAATATTTGAATGGTTCTATTCCATATAAGCGCATTTTAGCACATGCATTTGGTGCATTTTGTCTATTTCATTTCCAAGTAATGAACATGGGTTGGTGGATTGAAATTTGTATCAAAGTGAAGGGAATATCTTCATCTCTCAGTTGAAAAAAAAGTTTTTTAAGCACTTGCGATTTTGGATAAACGTCCTTAAACGATGCTAGAATTGATATTCTTACCAATTCATCATGTAAACATTCTTGTTCATAGATTCTCCTCATCTTTCAGCTTGGGGGAATGTGCAGACTTCGAAAATCAAGTGTACCTCCCAGCTGACCTAGAAATCGTGAAGATCTCCTGCAGAGGCATAGGCGATTCAGAGGACACTGGGAATGAACCTCTATACGAGAACATTCACCCCATCCTGAATCCTTTGAAGGTTCGAAGCAGGCTCAACACATCGACGTCCCTCGGACGAAGCCAAACAAACCAAATAAACTTCAAAAGAAAACTCAGCATCTTAGTTCTAGGAATAGACAGCGTTTCCCGCTTGAACTTTAAGCGAACCCTGCCAAAAACCGAGCGCCTCTTGACAGACGCCGGTTGGTTCACCCTGCAAGGGTACAACAAAATGGGGGACAACACATTCCCAAACTTAATGGCGATTCTCACCGGTCAAAACAGCTCGCAAGCCGACACTAATTGCGATCCAACTCGAGCTTATGGCTTGGACAATTGTCCCTTTTTGTGGTCCAATTTCCGAAAAGCTGGATACGTCACAGCCTACGCTGAAGATATGGGCCCTACCAGCACGTTCAACTACCAAAAAACCGGATTTATAGTTCCACCAGTCGACTACTACCTCAGATCTTATATGCTAGCTAGCGAGAGACTCTTGAAGGCTAAAACAAGATTCGGTACTAAATACTGTTCAGGACCTGAACTAGAAATGGATAGAGTTTTTGATTATGCATTTAACTTCGCCGAGATATTTGCCGGTTCTCCTTACTTCGGATTTTTTTGGACGAATACGGTGAGCCATAACGATGTGAATGGACTTTCAACAGTGGACGATCACCTCTTAGGGATGTTCGAAAAATTTGAAAAATCGGGCGTCATAAAGGACACTTTAGTGGTGTTTTTGAGTGACCATGGGATGCGGTGGGGTGAAATGAGAAAGACGTTCATCGGGTGGTACGAGGAGAGACTGCCCTTCATTTATTTGAGACTGCCAGACTGGATGAGAGAAGATACCAGTGTAGTTGAATCACTCAGAATCAATGAGCATCGTCTGACCTCACCCTATGACCTTTATGAGACGTTCCGTGAGGTTCTCATCGAGTCTGGAGGTGAAGCCAATGCAAGCACTGGGTGTTCCACATGCCAGAGTTTATTTAAACCAGTGCCAAAGGTGAGAGGCTGTGCGGACGCTGGGGTCTCCCCTCACTGGTGCACTTGCACTGCCCTCAAGCCTTGGAGTACTGATGATGAAATTATCAAAGCAGCTGCTGAAGTGTTCATTCAGCATGTAGAGAAAACTGTTGAAGATTATAAGGACAAAGAAGGAAGAAGGCTCTGCGCCCAGCTTCGAATAAAGAAGATTCATAAAGTGGATAGGATCATAGATTTTAGTAACTCTTTGGATAATTCAGTTACTGGTGCACTGTATTTTTATTTGATAGAATTGACCCCTGGAGACGGAATGTTCGAGGTGACCATTAGAATTCGTGGTAAGGGGAATTACAGTTTATCTAATGAAGAAATCAGTAGGATTGACTCGTATGGACCAACTTCACAGTGCCTCCACGTAGAATCCAAAAAATTTTGCCATTGCATTGAAAGATAATCCTTTCCATGGTAAATAGTTAATATCAATGCAATGTAAATATAAAAAATTCGACTGGGTTGTTGCATTCTAGATGTTGCTCACTTCACTCGCTCCCATTGCGGGTGGGTTGGAGTGGGTGTGAACCGTTACTAGAAAATATTTCAATAGAATAAGTTGTATAGAAAAATTGTATTTTTTTACTTTTGACGTGGATACGTCTATGGTCTCAATATGGGGGGTCATTTTGGGAAGTGGTCCTTATGTGCAGCGCCATCTATCGAAAGTCCAAAAAATTCTAGACATTTCGAGGTAATTCGAGAAGTTTCTTGAAATTTAGAAAAAATTCAAGGAGTTTCTAGAGAATTCGAGGAAATTCAGGGAGTTTCTAGAAAATTCAAGGAAATACAAAGAGTTTCTAGGAAATTCGAGAAAGAAGGAAAGACCATGGACGTATCCACGTACAATTACAGCTGTATCGAAGATACAGCCGCCTGCAATTTTTTTCTGTAAGATATTTCCTGTTGAACATTTCAACAGAATCGGCCAAAAACTAATAGAAAGTTTAATACAAATCCAATACAATTGTCTAACGAATTCGCTAGGTTTTTCTATTGAATCGTTTCATACGTGTCTTGGTACGAATTCCCATAAATGTCTCAGTTGCATGCGTACTTGTCATTACGAAAGCAAACAAGCAGTTGACCGCTCCTATGCTGCAAAAAGCATGTGACTGCTACTTTATGTGTTGTTTTTTTATTTTTTATTTCTACCAATTTTCAATTGGTAGTATGCTTCTGAATGGATGTTTATATCATCTCAGCATGTTTCACTCTCATACATCCATACATAAAATTTATACAGATGAAAAATTTAATACATTACGAATTTCATATTTTTTTCTAGATCTAGATAGACCTAGATAGAAGAAATTGAGACGAGCATTTTGAAAAAAAAATTTGGATATCGGTCGAGTAGTTTTTGAGATATTCGACCAAAATAGTTTTATACAAAAAGTGGAATATCTGAGGAATTACTAGATCAATCGAGCTGAAACTGTACATCGAAGTTATCTGCTCAATACCTATTATGGGCCAAAATTTCATACGTTTATCAATAAATTTCACTGTATTAATGTTATATTTTCTGAAAAGTGATCACCCAAAAATCGAACTGTCAGACCCGGACATACAGACATTTTCTAAAAATATCATTTCTTCACGTTAATTATTATTCTACATCATTTCCAGGCAAAATAAGAGAATGTCAAAATCCGACGAATACAATGCTTCCATTGGGAAGCGAAAAAGGTTCTGATGAGTTCAAAACCCGGCTGGGTAGAATGGTGAGATCTAACCATTTAAAGTCTTGATCATCATCGCAGTATACCCTAACTAGGTCGAAGCGATGTAAAGTAACGATAAAAAAATTGGGAAGCGAAACGCATACAAATGGCTTCACGATCGTGTCTTTACGCCAATTCTGGTTTATATCAGATGCCAAAGATGCATACATACTTATCAATCAAAGAACAGTCACGGAAACGGATAATTTTATGATTGTGGCTTGAACGAAATTCTCGTCAATGTTCCATATTTCACTACCCTGTGATGTACAGTTCGTCAGGCTCATATATAAATATAATGAAATAGTTCCTGCTCCTGTGGCGGCATCAGTTGACTGCGTAGAATTACTTATTTGTTTTTTTCTCAGTGCACAATGAGTGTTTAGCTTCTCCAAAATCTGATCGCATGGTCAGAAAAAAGAAGTGATGAATGGTCACAATCATGAAATGACCAAATAAATTTTGCCCGTCAATTTCCATCTATCTAGATGACCCTCAATTTTCGAGTACTAGTCCAGCATTTTTTACACTATTAAAAATTTAACTATATCTATTTACCCTCCAGTGGTCGCGCTATGGTGTGGACGCCGTCGTTTTTGTTATTTTCACGATATCTCTAGAAATGTGATGAATTACCCTCTGCCTATTTACGAGTTCCTCAAATTATATGTCCTGATCGCGTCTCCACATGTAAAAGCAGTAACAGTTCAGTTGTTAGTTAGTTTCTCAACCCAACAGCAACTGTAATAGATTAGAATATCAGGAATAAAGTAGAATGAACGCGAATTAAGGATGTACTACACCCTTTCGGCCAAAATTCCCGTTTTTTTCATTTTTCTGGCGATCTATTGATCGGATTGACGCGAAATAATATACCGTTTTTGCGTTTTGTCATTATTGAATGACTCACGAAGTTTCATGGTAGTGCAATCATTTTCCCGCATTTTTCTAAATTTTTGTGAATTTTCGAAAAGTTGTCGAAAAGACGCAGGAAAATGATTGCACGACCATGAAATTTCGTGACTCACTAAGTAATGAGAAAACGTAAAAACGGTATATTTTTTCACGTCAATCCGATCAACAATTTACCAGAAAAAGTCAAAAAACGTGAATTTTGACCGAAAGGCCAAATGTGAAGGCTGGAATTATTTCCAGCCTTCACATTTAAATCCATCTCCCTCAGTTCACCCTAAAACTAGCCCCTCTCCAAACACATTTGTTGTAGCTCTTCATCGGCTCTACAAAAAATGTTTTAAGAAAAGTTTGCTATCTCCTTTAGATTTCGAGATATTCATAGAAAACTGGTCAATAGTCAAAATTGACTTGTAGCGTTTTACCACTTCACTACTGAATTATAAAAAAATATTTTATCGAGCTCGGATGAGAATTTGTGAGATTCTTTCGCGGCGCGAACGAGTCTCGCGGGCGAGAAGCGTGTGAGATTCTCTCGCGGCGCGAGTAAAGGTTCTCGGTGAAATGGCGCGAGTGCTGGCGGGTCAACTGATAGAAGACAATATACTGTCTTCCGCTCACTTTCACCCTATTCTGTCCCATCACGGCTGAAAAATTTATAAAAACAATGACATTCCTTCAATAAAATGTTCCCAACTTCATTTCGTTCACTCAAAATTCATCTTCAGGGCTGAAATTAATTTCTCTTGATAAACCATGAACCAATAAATCAAACAACCAAGTAAATTAACAGCTAAATTAGCAAGTAATTCAAAGAATTTTCTTCGCAATGAAGATAGTCCAGGCGAATAAACGATCTCCGTCAATTTCCCCCACAAAACCAACGGACTTGAGGAAACCCTTTGGCTTCTGCTGTGACATTCATCGTCAGGATCTTGATACTCAGTACAATCTGAGGAATCCACCCTTTGAATCCATTTTCCCAGAGACTGCCCTCGTCAGCGATCGCCCGGAGATTAAATTCCGGATTCAGGACATTGCGAAACCACCCGCAAGGGGACCCAGGGGAGGAATTTTTCGAGACAGTGTAGAGTTAAAGAAAGCTGCGGTTTACGGAAAATCGAAAAAAGGTCGAGGGCCTTTGAAATGGTTTCTGGAGGAGGAAATTCAAGTTGCTCGGGATCTTCTGGCCAGGGAGAAGAGGATAAAGAGGACGGAAGAGATGCAGAAGAAACTTGCGATGAATAAAATGAAGGAGAAATCCAAAATTACGATAAATTAGTAACTGAGTCTGTAAATTGTATTAATCTGCGAAGTCGTAAAACAACCGCGGAAATATTTAGATTGGAAAGAGATTGAGAAGGAAATGTGAAAGGGAGTTTCTTGCGTTGAGAATTTTCCACTCGACAAGGAACGCTCTCAGCCCTCCTTTCGTATAATCATTACCAAAATTCTTAAAAGCATGAAAAACTTCAGTAGCGAAGTGGTAAAACGGTACAAATCAATTTTGACTATTGACCAGTTTTCAAGGAATATCTCGGAATCTAAGGGAGATAGCAAAATTTTTATTATAACCTTTTTGGTAGGCCCGATTGAGACCTACAAAAAATGTGATTACGAAAATTTCGCTATCTCCCTTAGATTCGGAAATATTCCTCAAAAACTCAACTGGGAGATGAGTCAGCTTAAACCGTTTTACCACTTCGCTACTGACTTAATTAGAAAAACGTAGTGAATTCGCTAGCCAATTCTATTGGATTTCTATTGAACTTTCTATTAGTTTTCGGCCGTTTCTACTGAAATGTTCAATAGAAAATATTCTGTAGAAAAAGTCAACAGAATGCGATTTTTCTATACAACTTATTTTATTATGATATTTTCTACAGAATTTTTTAGGCTCAAATTTTCCTAGTTTTTTTCATTCTATTCTTCTTTTCTTTTCATCAAGAAAAATTGACTTCTTGCAGAAAATTTCTCTTGATATTTTTCCTCAAATTCTCTAATTTCCAAACAAAAGCCAGCTAAACACTCGGAGAATATTTAACAATTATTTTACCACCGCTTCGCTGTAAAATCACATTAGGAAAATTAACAATTTCATTTTTTTTATTACAAAATTTATATTTGAGCTGTATACAAAGTTATATCAGTAATGACGGTGTACAAAGAACCTTCAAACTGACTCAAGAAAAATAAAGAAATGTTTTCCAACATGAACTAAATAAACTTGTTACACCAATCAATGTTTTATACATTTTGGATTAAGACAAGCCGCATTAAAACTAGTATTTCAATAACATTTTTAAAGGAATCTTTAGTCAACTTTATAATTATACTAAACTTATTCCAAGTATCACCGACGTTTTTTTATTTATGATTAGTGCGAAATAAGTCGGGTATCTTTAACTTTTTCAATTTTGTCGTAAACAAAATTTTTAAAAATGAGAAGAGAGTTGAAGTCAATCCGATCGGAGAGAATAAAAAAAGAAAAAACGTAATAATCATCATGAATAATGTCTTTCAGCTGCGAGCTCAATGTTGATAAACTTAAATCCTTACTGTACTAATCATGTTCCTTTTCATGAATTTTGCAGTGCAGCTGCTCTCGCATAGTTTAACCTAATTGATTTTTCCTCATACTCTTACTTATATCTAATTCATCATTGTTTTAACTGTTAATAAATATCATAAAATGCTCCAGGCACTTTCTATCATGTTCTCTCTCTCCCGATCATGCTCTCAAAATAAAAAATGTGGCTTTATTAATGATTGAACCGAGTAAATCTGCAGTGAAGTGATGAGAATGATGAGTCTCAAACATAAAAGGCGTCTTCTCTGTGGTTTATTCCCTGAATATCTTGGAAACTACTGGATTTATTGACAAACTTCAGAAAATCATTTTTGAAGAGAATTAAATTCCCCACGGAAAGTTCTCTGAAAATTTTCCTCCTAAATCCACTACTCCCCAATATATCCTCGAAATAATCTTCAAGCCTATTTTAAACTCCTCTCTCCACTCTTTTCACACTCCACTACCAAAAAATAAAAGAAAGTAAATACAAAAAAAATAAGGGAAGCACCTCGAGAAAACGTGATCACCCACTTTATGACACTAATTCCACGGCTCACGTAATCACCAAAAGAAGAAAAAAAAATACGTCGTTTCGATGAAAAAATGTCAGTCTTTGATTTTAATCTTCAGGCCACTTCCACCCACCATTCAATGATCAATTGATCGATGAAACCCACATATTAGTCTTTGGTCGAACCCCTAAGAAAAGAGTGGCTCATAAACTAGTGATCTATCGAACTACACTAATTGAACAGCAGTGATAAGCCGAATAATCAAAAGGAATCAGTGAAACAAGAATAATGAGTGATAATGAACATTAGTTCATGACTTTAGCCTATTCCTCACCAAACTAAATCAATAACTGAAGTGTGAGATTTCATTTAATTTAATTGATTAGTACGATTGATTAGACTTTTCGACTTTTTTTACTTCGAGATTGTTTCTTTCTCGACAGTGAGCACCTCATCATCGTTCTCCTTTTCCAGTTGGAGGATTCGATGATCTGTGACTACTCCAGAGACTAGCTTCTCACAGTGAGGGGTCTTAGGAGTTCCTGGGGACTTTGGAGGCACTTCGCCATTTGGGGGTTTGTCTGCGTCAACGCTCACTTGGCTCAAGTCAATACTGAGATTTTCTTTGGAGTTGATGGATGGATCTGGTTCGTCGCACGTTAGGGATGATTTTGGTGTTTCTGTAGTCTCGTTCAAGTTGAGTTGGGAGAGCTTGTTGATGGTGTCTGGGGTGGTTTGATCGTCCAGAAGGGTTGAATGATGATTTTCTTCTTCTGGGGATTCCTTGTCGTCCTTCAAGGATTCTGTGGTGCTCAAGTCCACTCCGGAAACTTCGGTGATGCTTTTACAGCTCTCCAGAATGTCCAGAGAATTTTTTGTCTCAGCAACTGGAGCTTCTGTCTCCCCACCATCTTGAATGACCTCTCCCGCAGCAACTGGAACAGCTGCCTCATCTCCAGTAGTATCTCTACTTCCACCCACCTCCCCATCATCTCCAACCTCATCAGGGCCCTCAGAAGGTGGTTGAGAGTACAGCTCAACAATATCATCAGCTGTGAGCTCCCTAGGGATAGAAGAGCCCTCCTTGGCCCCTTCCAGCGTGTCTGCCTCTGTGCTCTCCGCAACCCCTTCCTCAGGCTTCTGCAGAGTGGCATCAGGAGATGAATCCATCTTAACAGAAATATTCGTTGATGATTGGTCCGAATTCCCAGTCCCTTCGATTCCCGAAGTGCTGCTGGAGACATGCTCAGTGATGCTCTCAGTCTGAATGATCATGTCCCCGAATTTGCTGACAATCTCCTCCCTGGTCTTCTCGACATTGACCTCATGCTGGATCTGGAAAAAACTGTCTGAAGTCTCATCGAAAACACTGTCCCTCATGTTCTGAATCTTGGCGACTTCCTCTCGGAGCTCCTCATCAATTTCAGGAGTTTGTTTCTTCTTGCAGAGGGGAGCTAGAATCTCCACAACGTCCTGCCCATTCAGAGACAGTTTGATGAGACTGGGATCGTCCTCGGCCAACTCTTCATACTCGAACATAGTCGCACCGTCAGCAACTAGTTCGATGAACTTTTCGCAAGCCTCTTGGGACCAGCACTCGAGGTCCTCAGGAAGTTTGAGGGATGAGAACATGGAGAGGTGGGGGATCTTGATGATGTCCTCAGGCAGAGCTCGAAGTTCACTGGTCACTGCAGAGTTCCCGTAGTCGATGTAAAGAACCTCTGTTTCTGACTCTGAATGACAGAGGATCTTGGCTCGATACCACAGGTTATCCTCTGGGAACCTTGCTGCACAGATGGTGCCCTCTGATAGGGTATTCAGGGGGAGGAAGCTATGGGCGTTCTCCAGATGATCTGCCATCACATCCAGATCTGCCATCTTGTAGTCTGCCTGCAGCCAGAACTCGCTGGGGGACACCACGTGGCTCACCACGACATTCGGAGATGTCTCTTCCCCCAAAGGCGAAAGCCTCTCCTCAATAACTGCCACTGGTTTCTCACAGAGTTCCCCGAGTTCCTCTGAGATATCCTTCTCCTCCAGAATGAGCTTCACCTTGGAAGTTTCTCCCTCCTCAACCACCTCAAGGATAAAAATCGTAGCTCCATCGTCAGCCATCCTGGAGAACTCCTCACAAGCCTTCTCAGACCACTGCTCCACCCCCTCAGGAAGTGGAAGACAGCATTTCCTGGACAGAGGAGGAATAGCAGCAAGATCCTCAGGGATCTGCCTGATTTCCGTAGAAACTGCGGAGTTCCCGTAATCGATGTAAATCACATTGGTCCCAGTGTCTCCATGAGAAATAATCCTCGCCCTGTACCAGTTCTGATCCTCAGGGAATTTAGCAACACACAGAGCCCCCTCCTGTACTTCCTCAATCCTCCCAAACATGTCAGCCACGACGAACCTATCAGCAATGGTCTCCAAATCCGCCACAAACTTTTCCTCCTGCACCCAGAACTCACTAGGAGAATTGATGTGACTGACGAAAGCCGATCTTGGGTCCAACTCTCTGTGAACAATCTCGTCGAAAATGTCCTCGACTCCGTGCACTTTGATCGCCAGTTTCTCCTCCACAAGTTTGTCCCCAATGTTCTCATCCCCAACGAACAACTCCAGCCTCTTGGGATTGCCATCTGCAATCAGCACAGCATCAATGAACTCCTCAGCTGTCGCCATCCCCAGGAACTTCTCACAAGTCCCCTCGGACCAGTCCTCCTCCCCAGAAGGAATCAGATCCAATCTGCACTTGATCCCATACCTCTTGATCGACTTCATCGACTCTGGCAGGTGCCTTATCCCACTCTTGATGTCAGTGATGCTGTCTGTGTTACCAAAGTCCACGAATCTGACGGTGACAATGTCCTCATCAGCATCGATTACCTCAGCTCGGTACCAGAGACCGTCTGCCGAGTACGTCGCAGCACAGAAGAGGTTCTCCTCTGGGATCCCCTCGACCTGAGAGTAGCCAGAGACCTCTGACTGCAGTTTCTCCTGGAGATCGTCGATCGTCGGCACGTCTCGAAGACGTTGGATGTAGAACTGGGCTGGGTTGTCTGCGTGGGTCACTGCTATCTTGTATTTTCCTCCCACGATCAGGTCCTCTGGCTCTGAGGGGTCGATCTCCAGTTTCTTTGGCTCTTCCTCTGGTTGGAGAAGGTTCAACGACCCCAGGGTCTCGCTTATTTTCGTACCTGGGGGGTCTTCAAGCTCGACTATCCATTTTGATCGGATGTTGTAGAGGGAGGCGGTGAACTCCTTGTCCAGGAGGAGGGGTTTCAGTGCCTCTGACTGTTCTGATTCTGATCCTTTTAGGGTCACTGATAGGGAGACCTCCAGGGACAGCTGGGGTTTGATCATGTGCTGGGGCTCGAGTTCCTTCAGTAAGTGGGAAGGGACTTCCTCTGGGTTTCCATAGTCCAGGTATTGGACCAGGGCTCCTGTCTGGGTGGCCTCGAGGATCTTCGCTCGGTACCAGTTCTCGTCCTCACTCTGGGCTGCGCAGAGCCTCGAGGGCGCCCTCTGGGGGGCCAGGGGACGTCCTGAGGTCGAGTAGTAGTTGAAGAGCTCGTCCAGGAGGGACTGCAGTACTGGGATGTCTGATACTCGTTGCAGGTAGAGACTCTTGGAGTGGTTTATGTGAGATATTGTTACTTTGTTCGCTGAGTGGATTATTGGCATGGGGAGGAGGGACGAGATGGTTTCGGGTGGGTCGGTGGGGGTCAGCTGGATCTTGTGGCCGGAAGTGTTGAAGATTGATACTGCGAGCCTGGAAGGTGAAGATGTTGGGTTCAGTGGGAGAATCGCATGTAATGAGGGGATATTTAGTTATCGATAATTGATGGGGTAATCGTTGCAAGAATTTGGACGTTTCCTGTGGAAATTTAGATTGTTCTTATGAGAGAAGTTGTAAGAAACAAAAATATAGATTTGGTCTGTGGAGAAAAGGACTATACGAACTTTAGTCGTCGATGAGAAAAATTCAGAAACTTCTTTTGCGTAAACCTTTCAGGGGTTTCCAATTTGTGTAAATTCTCTGTGATCAAATTTATGTAGAAAATGGAAAAATTTTAGATAGGATTGTTCCACGGGGATTATCTCGAAAACTCATAGTTTTAAGAAGATAAAATGAAAGAACATTCTTTGTCGAACTATGAAATCTTAATACAAAATGTTTTTTAGTACTTTTCTATAAATTCGTAATTCTTAGGATAATTATGTATTTATGTTGTCATGCAGAAGATTAATTTCAAAATCAACTTTTGATCAACTCACCTATTATTATCGACATTTTCGACTCGAATTATGACTTCATTATCCCCCACCGTTGCCTTGAACTTTTTATCGATATCAGCGTCGGATTTCGCATTTTTCACGTAACATTCAACTGCTTGATTCTGCATAACTGCGAGTTGCGGTGGCAACGCCAGCATCTACATAGAGTAAAACGAAACGAAAGAATATTAATCGCCGAACAATAGTGATAACTCTCATTCGAATCTTTCCTATTGAGAAAACCTAATGCTCGAACTTTACGTTTCCTCCAAATTTCATTATCTCAGATGAGGGCAGTCAGAGGAAAACATCAAGCGACTTTTTTTGAGAACAAAATTGTTCGCAAGAAAAATCTCTTGTTACTTAGACGTAACGTCACTTATTGTCAACATGATTGTAACATACAATCATGACAACAATCTTTTTTGTCTTGTTGAGCTGCAGAGGTCTCTTTTTTTTCAAAATTTTTGAAAAAATGTGTACAATAACAATTACGAATTGTTTTTTTACATTCAACCCTTACACAGCTAATTTCGTTATTTTTTAAATAAAAAATTGCACCATTCGTACATCCAGAGAAAAATTTATTAAAAACAACCCCTGAATTTCATAAGTTCAAGTAACAAAATAAAAAAATTTCGTAATTTTTACTAGATTTATTGCATAAAATTCAAGGATTAGTTTCAATAGATTTTTGCTTCGTATTATTAGGAATTTGAACAAAAATATATATTCAGTCTAGAATTTTCTCTATTGTTAAGGGGAGATTACGACGAGTTTTAAAAATCGCGGACTATGGGAATGTGATGTCTTATATACTGAAGATCGATTATCTATGTCTAAAAATGAATAATTAGTGTAAAAAAGTTAATTGTTTATTGTTTGTTTGCCCCATAGACGCTTAAAATGTTAAGAATAGTCCAGGGCCTCCAATTGTTGAGCTGCAGAGGTCTCTTTTTTTCAAAATTTTTGAAAAAATGTGTACAATAACACTTGCGAATTATTTTTTTGACATTCAACCCCTACACAGCTAATTTCGTTATTTTTTAAATAAAAAATTGCACCATTCATGTAAAATATCCCGAAAAATGTTTCTGAAAGAATCGACAATATCTCTTGAATATTTTAAGGATAATTTTTCTGCATATTTTACATGAATGGCGCAAATTTTTATTTTGAATAAAACGGAATTGCCTGTGTAGAAGTCGGATTTCAAAAAACTAATTCGTAATTATTATTGCACAGATTTTTTCAAAAATTTTGACAAAAAAAACCCTCTGTAGCTAAAAAATTAAAGGCCCTGGACTATTTTTAACATTTCAAACATGTGGGGGGCAAACAAACAATAAACAATTATTTTTTGTGCACTAATTCATTTTTAGACATATATAATCGATCTTCAATGTTTGGAAAATCTCACTCCAATCGCCCGTGACTTGTAAAACTCATAATAGTAGTCTCCCCTTAAATCTGTAATGATCCTGAGACTGAATTACTATTGTAAAAAAAATCGTGAGTCCATTTTTGCGGATGAAAATTCCCATAAAAATGATGTTTCTACATTCTACCTCAGAGTCACTCATCCTCAGAACAATGAATTATTCACCAATTCATTAAAGAATTGGGAGGAAAAATGCTGTAATTTGTTATTTAATCCTGAAAACGTGAAGAAATGGTGAAGATTAATCTGACGTTAGTTGAGTCGCATGTGTATGGCATTAATGATATTCAGATGAGCCCTAGTGATGAGGATAATGTTGTTTAGTCGTCCATGTCATCACATTGAATGATAAAACTCACGCAGTCCATTGGTATCACTAGTTTGGCTCCAGTGTCAATGAGCCTGACGTCAAAGCCAGTGGATCGTGAGGTACTTATGACAACGGCACGCTGCCATCCACCCTTGGTTTCAACTAGACAACCTGAGCCAAGGAACACCTCACGCTTCGACAGTTTCGGCAACACCTAACATTGGCACACTACTTTTTACTAATCTCTTTATATTTCTGCATTTTTTTTACTGTTTGGTTACGCGCCAAAATGAATGATGATTATTGAATTCTGGGATTCTGGAATTGTTTTACATATTTTACAATTATTAATCACATGGACAAATTGAAATTTGCTGGGAAAACTTTTCTACATATTTTTAGGCAGAATCTCAGATTAATCAATCTCGTAGAGAAGTTATTGTTGAGTTAGTTGTCAGTGATGTTGGGAGGAAATTTATCAATTTGTTGGTTTCTGAGATAATGGCATAATTGAGAAAAAAACGAATTTATACGCATTGTTTTTAATTGAAGTGTTGAAACATCTCGATAATGAGCGTTGTTACAAAAATTTGTTAAGGGGCTTTTTTGTTAAAAATTTTTTCTCCTACGAAAAAGATCGGAAATTATTTCGTAAATTATTTCATAACAAACTTTTTTTAATGAATACAAATCGTTATGATTTTTTTGGGTGGGACCCAGGTGAAATTTGAAAGTGTTTCATGGGGTACCTAAAAAGATAAATTTCGTACTCAACCCATTTTACCCTGTACGTCAGGTAAAAATGATTATTCTGAGTATTTGAACATTAAAATAGTACATAACAGGTGTTCAATATTGGAAAATGGCGAGGTTGATGAAAAATCAATTTAATTTATTAAGGCCCCGGTGTACCATCTTTCAAACGTTATCTCGATGTTTTTTTTTCATCTTTCGTCATCTGAAATTGTCAATCGAGTCCTGCATCATGCAGAAGTTTTGAAAAATTATGAATGAATAATCAAAAAAAGTAGAAGAAATTCTTAATTTTTTCAAAGAGCATTTTTAATTTATATTCAGAATAAGTTGAATAACAAGAAATTGAAAAATGTATCTGATTTACGGTGACAAACGGCGGCCTGTCACCCAATATCATACAGGGGCAAGACTGATTTCGTAAATCTTTTCCCACACTGCACAGAGACATTTATTACGGAAATAAGGCTCTTTGAAAAAAGTTGCAACATTTTGGAGAATTTTTTAATCACACTTTTATCACATAAAAATGGCAGATGACTACATATCACTGTTTTGAAAATTGAGATACCTAGCTGTCACTTCCCATGAGAACTTAGTGTTTTGTTATCCACCGTGGAAAATGACAGCTAATAGATAATTTGCCACAGCGAATCAGATATTTGTAATTTCCACTTGTTTCAACTCATTCTGAATCTCAATTAAAAAAGCTTTTTGAAAAAGTTCAGAATTTTTTCTATTTTTTTGCTATCATTCTATCATAATTTGTGGGAATTTCTACATGATATACCACTCAATTGACAATTTTGGATTACGAAAGATAAAAAAAATCCAGATAACATTCGAAAGATAGTACACCCGGGCCTTAATTGAATCTATTTTTGATAATTTCATTCTTGAATGAATGGATGGAAGCATAGAGGATATTAATGAATCCCTTTCACTCACTGCCTTTTAAATTCCAAAGGCGGTGCTTCAAAAGTCATTCAATAGTAATTTTCATCAGCTGCAGGGTTTCAAATTTCACCTGGGTCGCCTCTTAATAAACAAACTGTTTCCGACGTGAGTTGAATTAGGAAAAAATGACGAAAGATTTTTTTTTCAGAGAATTTAATCCTCGACAAAGATCTGTAGACGTTTTCTGCAAAAATTACTCATTCTATTTCATCTATTTGAGTTGATAAATTTGAGAACTTCCCTTCTGAATTTCGTTTCTTCTTACGTGATTTTTAGTATGCCAATGTAAGTTAAGTAATGATTATTGATTGAGGTACTCAATGATCGCAGGCTCAGGCAGAATTCTGCGGTTAATCAATTGTAATCAGGAGATAAAAGTCATTAATGATAATTATTAGACACGAAACCTTTACGCAACCGGAAATTTCTCCACTCAATAACACAAATGTTAAGTAACTACACTTATCTCCAAATTCCAGGTATTAAACAACAGAATTAATTACGAATAAAAACTGGCAATTTACCATACATCGTGCGAGTCAACTCGACATCATCAGCCATTTCATCACAACACAAACAAATGTATTGGGAGCTTGTTAGAGTCAAGGATTCACAAGCAGTTGTTATTACATTATCAATCAGCAGGTCTGGCCAATTATTCATACGCTGCATCTAACAATTATTTATGAATAGAGTTACTAATAAAATAGTAAAGACTAGTTTAAATCAAACATTTCAATTTCCTTAATTATCAAATATCTCAATTAATTTTACGCGATAATTAAGGATCGATATTTCGAGCTCAATTATTCATGATTTATCATTGTAATTTTTTCAATTATGAATTATTGAGAATATCTGGAATATTAGTAGTCACAATACTTATTCGTAACTGAAATAATTAATACCGCATTAATTATTTTCTCAACATTCTCATAATTGACAAAAAACTGTCCCCTCCGATCTAACTTACAATGTAAAAAACATAAATCATGCCATGTTATCACTAGCAATCCTAAAGTTAAATAAACATCATTTCCCTGAGAAAAAAATCTCAAACACAAATCTCCAACCCTCCAATCTCAAAATGTCTTACCTCAGCACTCTTTCCATCCATGAAATCAGCGACTCCCTTCTCGCACTCTCCAGCAGAAGGCAGTAGGACATGGAATCTGCCAGGTCCCTCGACATTGGACACCTTGACCCTGAGAGTCTGTCCCTCGAGCCTGCTGATATCGATCCTCACCGGTTGCTGCTCGTGACCACTCCCCTCCTCCTCAGGCTGCCCAACAGCTGCACTATCCCTCGACTTCACCACTTCCGGCTCCTCCACGACACTCGAAGAGACAGCGAAATCAGCGAGACCCCTCTCCACCATGATCCCAGCCAGATCCTTCCCCTCAAACATCATCGACACAGTGTACTTATTGTCCTTGACCTCGTGGAAGCAGCACTTAAACCTCTCCACATTAAAAAGCTTATCGATCTCATGAGAATTCGACTTCGTCCAGTTGTTCCCACTGACGGGAATCACATTCTTCAGAGTGCAGTTGAACGCCTGCTTGGGCATCTCCATAAACTGCCTCTCGACCCTGAATGTTTTCTTAGTCTCGACCATCGCGCAGTTTCCAAAGTCCACGTACCTGACGATATTCCCCCTGAGCTTATTCAACTCGAGTACCTCAGCTCGATAGAACGCCCCATCATCAGCAAAGACAGCAATGACAGCAGTCCCCACCTCCAGAGGCTCCTCCACAGGTGTTCTCCCCACGTAAGCCCTCTGGATATCGTGCATCATCTTCTTGAACTCCTCCTCAGCCTTCAAAGACTGGCAGTAAAAATTATGAGGGTTCATAGACCACGTCACCATGACCTCAAGCCTCTCCTCGAGATCAACAGCAAGATCCTTCCACTTCTGATCCATAGGAGCATAATCCGGTGGTGCTGACCTGGGTCTCCTCGATTGAGTCGACTTTCTGCTTCTGTTCCTTGACAACTCCTTGGCCCCCATCAAATCCGCACCGTTGCTGTACTGCTCGTTGATGTACTGCGTCTGTGGTACCCCATCAACAACTTCTCGAAGAAGAACTGTATAAATTTTCCTCTCGAGTCCAACGAATTCCGCCTCCAGGGGTTTGAGCTCGAGAGCTGATGTGAATGCGTCGATTTCCATGGGATCCCAGTTTTTTTCAACGGCTGCCAGGAGTTTAACTCGCACCGCCTGGGCTGGGAGCTTGCAGACCTCCTCCTTGATCCCCTTGATCTTGTCGAAGGGGACAACTTCGCAATTTGCGTAATCCACAAAACGAACTTTAGCTCCTGAGGGACTCACCTCTTCCACAGTTGCCCTGTACCACTCAGAGTCCTCTGAGAACTGAGCAATGCAGTCTGTTCCAGGTTTTATTGAAGCTTGAGGGATCGCCTCACCTCCTGATTTGTAGATAGCAGAGATTTTCATCATTAATCCATCAAGCTCCTGGTAATCAGGATGGAGGATGACCCAGAAGTCCAGGGGACTGACGATATGGATGAGTTCACAGTTCTTGATGGCTCCCAGGGTGACATTGGGAGGTGGAATCCTCAGTTGTTGGGGTTTCTGGGGTTTAGGGGGCGAGGAAGGGCTCGAGGAGGGTGGGGATTGGTAGGAGGGTGTGGAAGAGAGTCTTCTGGAGTCTCTGTTGTCGTTCTGACGTCTGCTGTTGCCACTGAAGTTCCTTGGGGATCTTCCTCCTGGATTATTCGAGTTGCTCGATGGCCTCGGGGACTTGTAACTGCTCTCACTGGACTCGGAGTCACGTGGGGAGCGTTGGAAGTCGTTTCTCTGGGGTCTGGTGCCTCCTCCTCGAGGGGGACGTTCCCCACGTCTTCCGCCACTTCTGGAGGAGGTGTCGGAGTCCTTGTCACTCCAGGCTTTTTCCATCGAGGAATTTCGCTCTGATCGAGAGGGGGGAGTCATCGGTTTTGATCGGCTGGACCTGTCTGAGGTCCTCGGGGCGAAGTCGTGGGGCGAACGTTCGGGTTGATTTTCATTGCGATCCTGGCGGGGGTAGTCCCTGCTGGGTCGATCGTTTCGGTCGTTTCGAGGGGGAAATCTATCGGTCTGGGGGGCGTTCGTCCACTCCTGGGGGGCGGTGCGTTGGGCCTGGAGATCCTGATGCTTGTGCTCATTCTCCTCGTCCTTACAGGTCTTTTTGGGGAAATCGGGGGACTTCCAGCTGTCTTTTTCATCGCTGTGGGGGTGAAAATGGGTCAGTGGGTTTAAAGGGGGGGGGGGGANATCGCTGTGGGGGTGAAAATGGGTCAGTGGGTTTAAAGGGGGGGGGGTAGTTATGACATTTTATTATTTACGAGTGATCTTGTCATCAGATGTGCAGTAAGGCTGGATGAGCATGAGATTTTTAATTACTGGGGGTTTATTAGGGGGCTGATTGAGGCAAATTAAAGGTGATCAAGCTGCGTATTGATGGTTTTGTAGTGGAGGGGGCTCTACACTGTTAGAATTTTTGAAAATTTTGGGGAGTCGAATTCATTTTGAGATCACAACGCTCATGGAATTTCTTATTTAGTGACACTTCAGTGACAACTTGAATTTTTGATGGCCGGAGTTTTTTCTTCATTCAGAAATGCGCGGAATTATTTTCTCGTAAATTCTTCCCTTTGAAATAAATTTTCTTTGCCAATTTTTCCCACGTAGGATTTTGCTTAGTTTTTTCAAGAATTCCTAATTAAATTTTTTGTTTCTCTTTGAAAAAAACAAAATGAAAAAGGTAATGACAAAAATTGTATTTTTCTATTTGCGATTAGTTGATCAAACGAAAATATCGTGATTATGATGGAAAACTGAAAAAAAAATTTAATGGTTTTAAAGTTGATGAAATTCATAATTTTTTACAGTGTGGCTAATCTTGAATTATATTTTGATGTAAAGACGTTCGGAAATTGTTTGTAAGTTTCAGAAATTGTCGCATTCAAAGAAATACAATGGATGTTACATTGAATGAAGATGAATTGATGCTGTGTTTAAATATTTGTCTGATTTAATATTTTCAAGGGAAATTTCACAGGGTTTTTCAGAGAAATGTTTCGACGATTGTTTTTTTTTTGGGAGGGAGGCAACTTTTCCTGCGAAAACCTTTCAGAAGAAATATTTTCTAAAGAAAAAAAATCCAGGGGAAAATTTTCCGGGGGCATTTTTCCGGGAGAAAAAAAAATCCGGGAACCGAATTTTTCAACTCATTGCGAAAATGGAATATTAAATTCAATTGAATTTCAAATGGATTAACAATACAAAACTGTAGTTGCCTGAATTGCCGTAAATTTTAGTCGTTTTCATTATCGTATGAACTTGAAAATTGGAATTTTATTAAGTATTCCGAACAGTGACTGATATGTCAGTAACAACTTGGTGAATGCCCAGTAGCTGAACGGATAAATACAATATCTTTAATAACTTTTGATAAGAAAAAATATGATAAAAGCGATGACAAAAAAATTGACAAAAAAAGTCATAAATTGAAATTGTCCATTTGATTCTCTGGATGGAATGGCAAAAAGTGGTATCAAATGATGAATTACATGACTCAGAAGATATCTGGAATCTTCAAGAGTTCCTTCACCTTAAATAGAAATTCCATGTAAATTAATAATTTTTTCATGTTTGAAAAATCCAAGAGTAATTTGTTAACAGTGTGGAGGAATGTTCAGAAGTAATGAGATACGAAGCCGATAGAACGAAATGAATGAATTTAATTACTATCGGGTTGAAAAGCAGAGGCTCATGGGCCTCAGCTTCTGAGGGTGTTCTGTTTTTGCATCGAATAATAATCCATAAACTATATTCAACTTTATCCTCCTTATGGTTATTTGGGATTTCAAGAATATATTTCTCAGTAAGAAAAATAATACTGAAGTTTAGGAATGTTATAAAACCAAAAGACCTGCAGCGCCAGGGGCCTGTACTTTTAAACCCGACAGTAAGGTTTTATTTTATTATGAATATCTATATTGAAGGGGGATAGCAAAATCATCAACTTCTAGAGCGAAATGAGAGCTAAAAGAAAAGGTACTTGAAGAATTCCCCTGTCTGCAAGACTGAAAATATTCATCAAAAACTCATCCGCAAGTTCATTTGACGCATCTCATTTTATAAATTTGCTAGTGGATTTATTTGGAGTTTATCTTGTAAATATCTTTGCAAAATGTGTCTCGAGTTTTTCACGTAGAATCTTTCATTGCCGAGATAATTGCGTATTTACACAATGAATGAAGACTACACACGGAAGACGAATTTTTGTTAATTGTTCAATTGTCTCGATAATGAGTGATGCCAAAATGAATTTTGTGGGCTACAAAAAATGTTATTTATGTGTGAAGCTCGTAGCTTCAGAGATATTTGCAAAATAATCAGGATTGATTCTTTGCACTTGTTCTCCTCCACCACTTCCCTACGGAATTCATTAATTAACTTTCACAAATGAATACAAAAAGCATCGGCGACTTTGCAGTATATTTTTTCATTCATCACTTTACCGTGGGTGTTTAACGTTTTTGGTTTTCAACTTTTGTGGATGGCCCTGGGGTTGCGTTTTTACGCCGGACCTGCATTACAATTATCCTTTTTACTTCGAAAATCAATAATTCTTCGAATCTTTCGAATCTGTCCAATGATTGATCTTGCAATCAATCAGAACAAGTGAAACGATAATAAAGATGAGTAATTCAAATTTTTATTGGAAGAATTCATGGAAGTGGTGAAACAGTTTATTTTAAGAATCAAATCTTTCTTTTTTCATTCATTAAAAGTCTTTTTAATGTAATTTTCACACGTTTGCTATGCATTTACACGGAAAACGAGAAATTTGAGGACAAAATGTCAGCCCTTTTTTTTATAACTGATGAAAGTTTCAACAAAAAGATCTCCTATTTAATTCCAAGCTTCAATAAAACAAAAATCTTTATCAAGATGATGCAGCAATAATAGTGACAGGCTGACAAATGAAAATTCATTACAACTGGATTTCCATATTCTTTCTTGATACAGAACAAAAATAACAATCTCACCTATAGATGCAGTTATTTCCGCAAAATCATTGGAAATCGGGTGGTGTTGCACTAGAAAGTTTTGATAATAATAATTGCAATCTTCGTAAAATGCAATTCAAACCAATTGTCAATGAATTTTTTTTTCAGGAATTTCCTTTTAACAATTAACTATTCCACAGCCTGTAAGATGACTTATATTTCTTCAGACTTGAAAATATTCATGAAGTTGTCCTTCATCCAAGATAATCCCCCAAGTAATTCTCCAATTCCCCACCAGACAGCCTGCATCAACTCTGAACTGTCTCACCACTTCTTAAACCCAAACAAATCCAATTGAACAGAAAAAACCTTAAGCAATAAAGTACATACCTCCGTCCACGTCCCGGAGGTCCAGTCTGCACATTACTCCTCATCTGTGCCTCCATCACACTCTTCTGCACAACCCCGTTCATCTCCTCAAAGACATCCACATGCGGCTGCACATTCTTATCAAACAGCTTCACGACAATTCCCTCCGCATGATGATCGAGCACAACCATCTCCAGGACCTTATCCATCACCATCTTCTCGAACAGATTGTCCACCTCCTCGAGCAATCCTTTCCCCTGAAAGTCATTCAAAGCACACCTGATCGCCAGAGCTGGGATCCTCGTCAGCACCTCTCCCCCCACAGCCCTCAACGCAGAGATCGAAATGAGCTCATTATTCCCATAATCCACGTAATGAACAGTGACCTGATTCCCAGATGATCTGATGACCTTCGCCCTGTACCACTGTGAGTCAACACTGCAATGTGCCAGGCACTTGTATCCAGGTCTGACCGACGCAGGCTTGACAGGAGGTGCAGTCTTAATGCACTCCTCAAGAGTCTTCGTCAATCTCTCCAGTGTACTCGTGTCGTCATCAAGCTGAACATAAAAATTGCTGCATCCCTCGACATAGCAGGCATGGACCATCTTCTTGACTCCCCTGTTCAAGGGCCTCCTCTCAGGCCAATTCTCAGTGCACCCTGGGAATCTGGCAATCAGCATCTCCAAGATGTTGTTGTCATTGTCCCAGAGGTGTCCATACTGCATCAGTGGCGAGTCCTCTGGAGGCACCACGTCCAGGATCATCCTCTTGCCCTCGACCAACTCCTGAAAATACTTCTTCATCTGCTCACTGACGATCAAATACTGAACACTGCTCAGGGTGAATCTTATCGAGAATACGTAGGGGTGAGCGAACTCCAGGGGTAGTTCGTAGATGTCAGAGTGCGAGAGAATCTCACTGGAGCCGTAATCTATGTAGAAGACTTTTGCCTGGAGGGAGTCTGTTACTGATCGAACAACTGCTCTTCTGAGGGTCCCATCCTGGGAATAACGACCCAGACAAACTGATCCTGGAATTGGGGGCTCTGACAGCAGCTTGAGGGGACATGAACTTATTCGCTTCATCAGGTCGGTCAGCTCCTCCAGGTTCTCCTCGGGCTGCACTGCGAACTTCAGGGGCCCATCTTCCACGAAGGAGACTAGGACTGGGTACCTTCGGTACTTTAGAACTCGGTTTACCATGGATTGGGCGGTTTTCGGGGTGGATTTCACCGGGGATCGAGGGGAGTTGATGTTTGGGGCGGGATTGGGGGGGCAGTGATGGGGGGGAACGTAGAGAGGCTGCTGGGGGGCCTGCTGGCGCCAGTTCTCTTGAGGCTGGCGGGGGTAGTTCTGGTAGTTCTGGAATTTTGGCTTTTGGTAGAAATTGTTGTTGTAGTGGTTCTGAGAGTGGTTGTGGTTGAAGGTGTCGAGGGAGGCATGCAGATGGTGAGGAGGGGGGTGATGGGATTGTGGGGGGTAGTGGGGCTGGTTCGGACGATTCTGTCGGTACTGGTTGGAGGGGGCTCCTGGGGGTGACGGTGACCCGCTGATTAGGCTGGAAAGGCAGTAAGAAAGAGATTAGATGGATGAGCTTGAAGATTTACGAAAGTTTCCAAGGGGGCTTTGAGAAAACTAGTGAGTTTACGAAGGAGTGGTGGAGGGAATGCAATTTCTTGCAGAATGCATCTCATGAAATGCTTGGGGAAAGCTAGTGGGGATGATGTCAACGAAAGGCTCGTCGGGGGAAGAGTCAGGAGACTTTTGCATTTTGGACATCTTGAAGAAATATTTATTCTGTTCGTCTAACTGAAAAATCTTGAGAAAAAAGATGAGAAATTCTGGTAAATATTGAAATCTAAGATGATATATAGTTGAGCTCTCAAAAATAATGATATACTTATATTTTGATGGTAATTATATGAAAAGTGTCCGCGGATCTAGTGACTCTCAGGATAAATCTAGGGGGATCTAGACGTAGAAAATATTTTTGAGAAAAAGAAGTTAGAAAAATGATATGGATCTGGAGATGTATGAATATTGCTTCCGAATGGAAGCCTTGTGATCGTTTAAATTAAAATTTTGGATTTTTTGTATTATAGTGATCCAGTATGATCCAAAAAGTCGCCAAATGTAATTTTCAGATCTCGTCCGTAAGTGGATAGATGGAATTGAATCAGTTTTTCCAAATGTAGGTATTGTTGAGCCCTATCAATCGCCGTTAATTAAAATTTAATTCATCGATTAGTTTTTTAATTTTTGAATTTTTTCGAAAATCGGTTGTCCCATGATAATTGAAAAAATGTTCTGAATTCATTGAATGATGGATTAAAAAATTTGTTTGAATGTCCTTTTGACCGAGTTCGAAAATAAAGGCGATAGCAATAATCGTTATTTTGATTGATTTGAAAATTTGCAAAAATTTTGTATTTTTAGAAAATCACAATTCTGGGGATATTTTTGAATATCATGCATCAAATGACTTCAATCAAAGCTTAAAATATTTTTGTTTAATGGCATTAAATCGAAGTTAAAAGATAATTACGATAGATACATTGGTTGATTTGATTTTTATGAGGATTGTTGAAAGTTTCGAATTTTTCATCAGTTTCTCTGAAAGTGAGGTTTCTGATGGTTTCTTCAAATGTGATGTTCCAAAATCATTCAAGTATGTATGAATACAATTTTTCTATTAACATTTTATCAAAGGGTTGAGAAAAATGATAATGATAACACTGAACCAAGTTAAAAATCTGACAAAATTAGTTAAAAAGAAATCTTATTTAATTTAATAAAATGTGTTCGTCTATAAAATGAAATACACAATGAATTAATTATATGAGACAGAAGGAAATGATGTGCAAAATAAAAATTCAGACGCATACTGCGAATTCATTAGCAAAAATAACTATACTGTATACAAGACAATTGCAAATTCCCACTTGTTTCAAGTAGTTGAACTTGTTCTGAAAGAGTTTTTTGCATAATGACAGTTTGGAAATTAGTAAGCTGACGACAGCAATGTCTTACTCCTTTGATGAAATGAAAAACAATTTCGGATTCAAGAATGAATAACATGCGATAAGTCTTTGTTTTTTTGTTTACACAAGCTTGAAAAACATGTCTGCATCACTCAAAATTCAAAACATATAATTTCTTCATCTGTTTCTCAGACAGAAGTCGGAGAAACAGATGAAACAGAAACTCAGTAGTAAAGAAATAGGATAATTCGAACCAAAGTTATACGAATGTTTAGTTATTTAGTTACCCTAACCCAAAGAATTGGAACCTTAAAGTCGAACGACTGCAAAGCTACCATTCAGAATCAAACAAGTAGGAAATTCTCTTGTATTGTATATAATATAGTTATTTTTGCTAATGCATCAGCAAAAATAACTTACATGCTTCCGAATTGTTATTTTGCACATAATTTCCTTCTATCATGCACAATTCATTGTTTATTTTATTTTATTAAATTGAATAAGATTTCCTCTTACCTAATTTTGTTAACTTTTCACCTTAGTTGAACATTATCAGCATCATTATTCTTATTATCCCTCTTCTTCTACACAACCGATTGTTAATAGAAAAATTTTATTTACATACTTGAATGAATTTGAAACATGACATTAGAAGAAACCATCGGAAAGCTCCGTTTCAGGGAAATTCATGAAAAATTCAAAATATTCAACAATCATCATAAAAATCAAATCAACCAATATAGCTATCGTAATAATCTTCTAACTTTGCCTTAATGACATTAAAACATACATTTCAAACTACGATTGAATTCATTTCAAGCATGATATTCAAAGAAATCTCCGGAATTCTGATTTCCAAAAAAAAAAAAATTTTTGAAAATTTTCGAATAAATCAAAATAACGATTATTGCTATCGCCTTCATCTTCGAAGTCGGTCAAGGGGACATCCAAATAAACTTTTTAAGCCATCATTCAATCAATTCAGAACATTTTTTTTGTTATCGTGGACTAAACGATTTCCTAAAAAATTAAAAAATTGAAAAAACTAATCGACGAATTAAATTTTAATTAATGGCGATCGATAGGGCTCAACAATATCTACACTTGAAAAAAAAGATTCAATTCCATCCCTTCATTAGCGAGCAATTGAAAAAAAAACTTTACCACACACAAAATCACATAAAAAATTGCATTTCCTGACTTTTTGGATCATAACGGTCGATATCACCCAAAAAATCCTAGTTTAAATTTGAACAATTGCACTCTAAGAAAAAATTTTTTTTTGGCAAATATCCATTAACTTGAGAGAAGTATTTACTTCAATACCATATTTCTCCAGTCGAGTCATTCCCAGGCTATCCTCATTAGGTTTCAATTATGTCAATTATATTGCTCTAGAAGATGATCATGTTAGTTCTGACATTGAGTGAACTTCCTCAATAATTATCAACATTAAAAAATTAATCAAAATTCTTCTCGCTAGAAAATATAAAATTTAGGAAAAATTAATAATCATGAAAGTAGTTCATCCATGGTCATGTGCAACAGTCATCCTCTAGAGCCACATGATTGTTACAATTAAAATCTAATCAGACTCGCGTGGGAATGGCTCGATTGGAGCCATTTTACAATTTTGAAAAAATGAATGCTCCTCTCACGTAACTGAATATTTGGCAGAAATTTTTTTTTCACAGTGCAATGCTGCCATTCGCAATCAAAAACGAAAACTCCAAATGCAGCAAGATATCTTACTTAGCCAGATCGTCACTGGTAGCAGGCAGTGCCATCCTCTTGTTGATCATGTACTCCGAGTAGTCCTCTCCATTGAAAAAGAGCTTCAGCATTCTCTTTTTGTTCTTCAGCACCGAGCATACCACCGCCGGCATCTCATTATACCTCAGCGTGTGCTTGATGTGATCCACCAGGGACTGATCCCACCCATCCTTGAAGGGCAGAACATCCGCCATGATGAAGTCCGTGGCGACTGGCGGCAGGATTTGGAGCTGAATTCCCTCCTGGGTGTCATTCAGGATCCTAATACTCTCGTACGAAACAGTCTCCATGTTTCCATAATCCTGGAAGTGCACCAGTACTGTACCATGTCCACTGTTGGGGCGCATGATTCTCGCCCGGTAGAAGGCATCGTCGTGATAAGCACAGCAAGTCGTGTGGGGTGTCAACAGTGCATCGCGCTGGATCGCCCCAAATCCCTTTTGAAAGCCCACGTTCATCGACGCAATCAACGACTCGATCTTCATCGCGGCATCTTTATCGATTTGTCCCCACACCCGAAGGAGAGGACCCTCTGTGTCCACGTGGGTCACGTAAATCGTGAACTCCCTGCCCGGCGCGACGACTGTCATCTTGATCCACCTTCGATGACCGTTGGAACTGTCTCAAGAAGAGTTTAACCTTCTTTCAAGCGATATCGTTGTCCCACAACATTCAAATGTCTTCTAGACACTTTTGTTTTCGACTACGGTTATATCGATTTTTCAGTCCGGGGGCAGGGGAAATTTACCGCTATCTCGGATTTTTTTTCTGGACTTGACGATGTTTAGGAGAGGCTCGAACGAATTGGGAAAGAATATGGTTGAACCTGCACTTGCCGGAAGTGAAAAAAGTTTATTAGATTTTTGGGCTGCGATTTACTTCCGCGAATTTTCAGCGCGTTTTCGAGGTTTTGGCGGGGCTACGGGGGGTGTTTTGCTTACCTGAGGCTCGTCGGGGGTCTCGGGTGTTCTCAAGGTGACGGAATATTTTTTTCGGGCACTTTTGTTGTCCCCCGTTGTCAGAGGCGTCTTTAGGCACCCATTGTTTCTTGGGAACTGAGATGCGAAGTCAGGAATGTGTGTAATCAAAGAGAGGGGAAGGAGCGGTGAACAGAAGTTTTTGGGTAGTGCGCATGAGCGGTGGGTCGCGCTAACACACTTGGGCGGGAGCGGATTCGATTTAGGAAGGAAATTCTTGCATTATTACACATTGATAATTATATTTGATAGGTGCGAATGATCCGGTCTTCGGATAAATTCGGTGATCGAACGAATTGAGGTACGTAGTTGAGGTAAGAAATAATTCAGAGAAATGAGAAATTTTTATCCGAAACTAGAAGAATTAAAAAAAATTTGATTTCTTTTGTTGGTACGCAATGGTAATTATTTTTTATATTTGTGAATTATAATTCTTCGAATAAATTCGGTGATTGAACGAATTGAGGTACGTAATTAAGGTAAAAATGAATTTAGAAAAATGAGTTTAAAAAAATGAGGATTTTTTATCCAAAACCAAAAGAACTAAAAACATTTTCGTTTTTTTTATTATTATACAATGCAAATTGTATTTGATATTTGTGAATGCTCCGTTCTTCGATTAAATTCTGTAATTGCATGAATTGATGTACGTAATTAAGGTAAGAATTAATTGAGAGAAATGAGAAATTGTTATCCCAAACTAGAAGAACAACAAAATTTTGATTTCTTTTATTAGTACACAATGGTGATTATATTTCATATTTGTGAATTACGATTCTTTGAATAAATTCTGTGATCGAACGAGTTGAGGTAGGTAATATAGATAAAAATTAATTTAGAAAAAAGAGACATTTTTATCCAAAACCAGAAGAATTTAAAATTAAAAATTTTAATTTTATTTTGAACTCGTAGACAGAGTTACCACATTCATGTTGGTAAGAATTTTTGTCCACCAACTTGAGATTATTCACAAATGAAATAAAATTTATAAATATGCGCTCGGTCATTGACTTCTGTATATTCCTCCACATTTTCCTCTATTTTTGCTTCCGAATGGAATCCTTGTTTTTGACCGATTTTTCGATTTTCTGATTTTGATTGGAAATGGTCTAGAATGTTTTGAAACGTGACGAAATGATGTTTTCAGGGTCATGTCTGTGTGTATGTATCCGATACCTTGGGCTTTTGGTGGTTAATTTTTAGAAACTTCAACGTAAATACGGTGAAATTTGTAGATAAAAATCTGAAATTTTGGCTCATTGTAACTATCATTAAGCTCAACTTTGGGACGTTTCAGCCGATCGACCCCGTAGTTCCTGAGATACAACAATTTGTTTAAATTTCGTTTTTCGTCCATATCTCAGAAACTACTGTACTGATATCAAAATTTTTCTTTTCAAAATACTCGTCTCGATGGCCTCTGTGTCGGTCAATCAGAATATATAGACGCAACGGATGCAGTTTCCGAGATATTCCCATTTTTTCGTTAAAATTTTTTTTTTTATTCTTGTACGCACAAGAACAGGGAATTGCTACGAATCCATTCGGAAGCTTACTACCAACGGAATTAGTAGAAATAAGAAAAAGAAAGATTAATGACGCAAAAAGTAATGGTCAAATGCCTTCTATCGCCTAGGCTCGAACCCCTGGTTGTTTATCTTTATTTTTGGGGCCTTCCATTAAGTGAATCCTAATTGGAATGAATCCTCTGAGCCCGTATATGAGAAAAATTTCAAATTTTGAAATTTCAGTCTTTACCCATATTTTCCATGTTTTTTTCCTCCCATTTATGACGAATTCCGTTTTAGACGACTCGGTGGGCAGCCCCATCCGAAGGTTTTCATTTTTACTTCAAAGAAATAGAAGGCGGAAATTCGCCATCACCTCAAAAAAAATTGCAGGCGGCTGTATCTTCGATACCGCTGAAATTGTACGTGGATACGTCCATAGGTATTTTCTTCTCTCTCGAATTTTCTAGAAACTCCTTCAATTCTCTCGAATTTTCTAGAAACTCCCTGAATTTTCTCCAAATTTCTAGAAATTCCTTGAATTTTTTCGAAATTTCAAGAAATTTTTCAAACTACCTCGAAATGTCTAGAATTCCGACAGATGGCGCTGCACATAAGGACCGTTTCCCAAAATGACCCCCCATATTGAAACCATAGACGTATCCACGTCAAAATCATATAGGACAGCGGATACTTGAGAAATAATGGATAGATGAAAGTCATGGTTTTTTGGGAATGAACTGCTCCATCCCTTTCGTGAAAATTTTATTCATTCCCATTCGTAACTGATACTACTGCAACTAATTTGTCTAAATCATCCGAAATGTTGGTTCCATGTTTCCCCATCGGTCTCAAAAATCACAGAATTCTTTTCGCACATTAAAACATTCGATTGCAGCAAAACAGATGAACATAATATAGATATTAAAAACAAGAAGTTTTTTTCAAAAGTTTTTATTCAGTATTTCAAGTGGAACATTTGAAATTAAGTTTACGTAGTTTTTAGATGCAGTAATACTTTATCATTTGCAGATTTCATGGAATAGTTTAAGGGGAGACTACTATGAGTTTTAAAAGTCGTGGGTTATTGGAGTGAGACTTTTCATACGTTGAAGATCGATTATATAGATCTGAAAACGAATAATTAGTGCAAAAAAAAAATTTTTATTGTTCGTTTGCCCGAAAACGCTTAAAATGCCGAAACAGTCCAGGACCTCCAATTTTTGAGCTACGAAGGATTTTTGTTTTCAAAATTTTCGGAAAAATATGTGGAATAACAATTACGAGGTAGTTTATTTTTAATTCGCCTCTCACATGGCTAAATTTACTTTTTTTGTATTTTTTTACACAAATAGTGAATTTTTTTATATGAAAAAAACCGAAATCAGCTGTATAGGAGTCGAATTCCAAAAAACTGGCTCATAATTGTTGTTCCACACATTTTTCCGAAAATTTTGAAAAAAAAAATCTTTTATAGCTTAAAAATTGAAGGGCCTGGACTGTTTTTAGCATTTTAAGCGTTTTCGGGCAAACGAACAATAAAAAAATTTTTTTTGCACTAATTATTCGTTTTCAGATCTATATAATCGATCTTTAACGTATGAAAAATCTCACTCCAATAACCCACGACTTTTAAAACTCATAGTAGTCTCTCCTTAAGAGGATTAGTTGAGTAACTAATCCTTTTCTTTATCCTTCGTGGAAAATATACTTCTTCTCTTTCTTGAGAACACACAGAGAATAATTTTTTGAATCTTAAGATTAATTTTTGAAATTGATTTTTTTAGAGAAGGGGTGAAGGCGAGTGGATTGTTGATAACTCTGGTTTCTCAAAGCGGAATTTGTAGTTTTATTTTCAAGTTGAAGAGATTTTGAGGGTTTAAAATGAGGCCAAACTCATTCAATTCCCATATATTTTTCTTATAAATTCTTTTTTTCAACTTCAGAAGATCCTTTGTTTTATTCTCTATGAAGCCCACAGAATTGATACGGATTATTTTGCAAATATCTCTGAAACTAATGGGTTCAGAGAAAAATGTTGAACGACTCTTTTTGTAGCCCAGAAAAATCTCTACAAAAATGCGTCTTGGTAAATTTCGTTGAACCCTATGCATCAAACATCTTCTCTTGAAGATATTTGTTATTTAGTGATTTTTCATCTGAAGCTAAATTCGCAATTTCTTTTTGAATCTCCTTTACACATTCTTTTCGAAACATTTCTTGAACTGGTAGATTTGGAGGAAGTCTATCCTTTCGTGTTGCTAGTGACATTCTTTAAAGATATTCACAAAACAATCCCCACATTTATTCAGCTCTTTTTGCTTGTTCTTCACCCCTCCATCATATATATATATTTTTTTTAATTATTCGGTTTTTCCTTTAAACTCGAGTTCTCCTCCTTCATTCTTAGTTTCACAGGCATTCAACTTTGAGCAATACGTTTTTGCCCCCAAAAAATAGAGAAAATATTTCATAGTTTTGTTTTTCTCTTTGGATTTTTCTCTCACAACGAACGAGTAATAATGACGAAAATATTTTTTCTCTTGCAACAAACAAAATAATGATAAAAATATGTCTTTTTGGAATAAATAAGATGAAAAAGGATGCAAATGACGAGGTTCAACGTCTGTCTGCCCTTGGCCTAGCGAATGGATGATAGCGATCACAATTTCTGGACTTAAAGATGATCCTCATCTTCGTCGGTGTACGCAGATGTATCTGGATTTGACGATGGGACCCACAGCACTGTACGTTGATTATCTGAAAATGATCCAGCGTCGTTCGTATCTTCAAGATCGTTATCACTATTAAGGGTGAAGTCGCCCCTTAGCATTAATGAACGCATTTGTTCTAAAACCTGGTGTAAAGAGTCCTGTCTTTGTTCCGTTCTGTCAGTCAGGGGTGTTGCATCGCCACTCGCATTTCCAGCTGGTGTTTGGGGGGTGTTGCTGGGGGGTACTGGTGTGTTTGTTCCATCCCCTGTGCCTGAGGACATTAATTAGACGATGAAGCATATCAACGATGGAAACCACAGATAAAAGTTTCTAGTTTCTCGTTAGCATAGATCGGCATCAATCATTACTTTTAGTAATATTATGAGAAGTTGCAACTTATAATAATTCAGATTTATTTATCGTAATTGAAATTTGAAAATTAATGTAATAATGGGTCATTTAATTTCTCAATTATTGGTTGATAAAATAATTCGGAATTTGAACATTTTAATTGATGGTTATTTTTACGGGGATGGGTACAAAATGTAAAAACCCGAGAGGGTATACATGTGAAAATAAACTACTTGATGGTTATTTTTAAAAATCAAAAAAATTGGTGAGTAATATCAACAATTGGCTTATTCCAAATTTCAGTTATGCCGATGTCTGCTCGTTAGGAATCGATCTCTGAATGTCAGGACACTGTTGTACTGAATTGTATACTGAGAGAAAAATGACAGAGTTAAATTCTAGAGTTAAATTCTTACCCATCGTATCACTAGCTGGACTGGCAGGTCTTTCAGCCCCTCTGATCTCCCTGATAACAGGCTCCTCCTCTCGATTCAACCTCAGCCCAGCAACACCTTTCTTGGGGACATTGTGAAGATCTCGTTTAATTCGTCGATGCCTGGACGGATCATTCCTCCTCAACTGTAACATCGAACCGAAGTCTGCGATGTAGAGAAAACCTGCTATCAGGAGCTCACAGGTCCTCTTCCCTTGTTTATAAGCTGTCTCGAGTTCTAGGCTCGTTCTGGGGTCATACTGCCACCACCCTGAAACAACCGAACAATTTACGACATGATGATGATGTGACGATGATCACTCATATTCGAAACCGTCAAGACACCTTGATTGTATGCTTTAATTGACAAAGTTATGTTCTTTATGCACTGAATCCATTCGCACGACTTTTTTCAAATTTCCCCCAAACGTTTTTTACTGCGAGGAGATTATCGTGGGAGAAAAATTATTATGAACTTTTTTGTGATCGTGATAATGAGTGGTATAAAGACGATTCGTATAAATTTTTAACACATTTTCAATCAATTTGGTAAAAAAATTCGATTTTTGATCAACGATGCAAAAAAATTGGCAAAACAGAATAATCAAAAATTCGTTTTTTTCAATTGATTTTTTCACAGTATACTATTTTGTCAAATTTGTAATTATTGTTATTTAAGAATATCCAAGTTATTTACAGTTTAGTACAGACTACACTATAGATTCAGCCATTTTCAACTATCAAGTCAATTAAATTTGTCAATTAAATTGCGTCAGAAAAATTTGAAAAAAGTAATTATTAATATTCAGCGTCATTAAAATTACATTTTGCACTCGTTGTTTATAAAAAAATCATTAAAATTGTTTAAACTTTCGGAAACCTTATTTTTTAAAGCATGAAATCGATTTCTGGTAAAATTTTGAATATGAATAAATTTGTTACGATTCCGAACAAATGATTTTTATGATGGAAAATTAATTGTTTATAAATTGTTTATAAAGAATGCTCGTAATTATAAAAAATTGCAATTTTTAAATTACTTCATCAATCTTACTCCAACAGTAAACTTACTTATTTTTTTCAGATTTTAAAATATTTTCTAACGGTTCAATATCGAGATTCAAATTCAGATGTGCAAAGTTTAAATAATAAAATCATTGTAAAATATTCGGAAACTTAAGGTCAAATGGTACTCAAACGAAAGCTCTGAGGTTCAACTACAAATGTAGAAAAACATTTCACTGGGGAAAAAATAGTCCAAGTACTTAGATATCCTTAAGGGGGAAAACCGCATTAGACCGTTAAAAAAATCAAATTTTTTAATTATATAAATCGTTAACATAACTATTCAAAAATATAGTCAAGAAGTTTTAAAGCGAAATGCGAAGTCCTTCATATGTTATGGGTATGATCAGGTGAAAAATTCACAAACAAATCATAAAAATAAATCTCTTAATGTGGTTTCCCCCCCTTAAATCGATATTTAGGCCATAAATGCTAGAAAAGTCTAGAATATTCTAGAATATCGATAATGAAAGGGGATTCAGCGCTGAAAGTAAGCGCGCAAATCAATCAAGAAGATTTTGGAATGTTTACGGTAATTTTACAATAAAAAAATCACGGAAAATTAAAGGAAAATTAATTTTCCGTGATTTTTCTCGGTCGGCAGTTTTTTTAAATATCTTTCTAGAGTCTTTCATATTCCGAAGTGTTAGCTTCTGAATTCATGACGAAATTCCTAAACATTTCTAGAATATTCCAGAACTTTCCATGAATTTCCGGAGAAACGGACATCCCAAATTATATAGAGTAAGATTAGGCATCATTCTACGAGAAAATATTAATTTACGTTGTGTTAGAAATTTAATTGACTACAAAAATGATTTCTGGAAATTTTCGTCACGAATTACTGGTTTCCGAGATGAATGCACAATTAATAAAGAACATGAATCGAACTAATCACGTTTGGGTGAGTAATCAAGGAGAATAAAAAAATCGTTTTTCTTTTCATGCTAATTTGCGTTCGTTTATTTAAAAAATATAATATGCATAATTGCTTGAGGTAGCAATGGTTAAAAAATTATTCAATCAAATGAATGCTGCATTCAGAATATCAAAAATATCCTGCGTTTCGAAACAATAATTTCGTTACATTCGTTGCAGTTATGATCTAGTTGTAAGTTATAACGAATTGTACTTGGAATTTAACGTTAGTTTTGCATAAATAATGTCTAATCAACGGACACCAGCGACTCCCTTGCACGGAGAACTAATGAGGTCTCGTTTGATTTTACGTTTTCTCATTGGCTGGTATTTTTTGTACTGGCACGAATTTTTAAAATCGATAACGTAGAGTGAACCACAGATTAATAGTTCACACGCGTTTTCACCGAGTTTGTGAATTGTGTCGAGGTCACTGCTTGTCCTGGGGTCATACCTCCACCAACCTGGGAAAATTTATAGTTCAGATATTCTTCAATGATTTTCAACAACTAACAGAAGCACCAGGGCATGATAAAAATTGATGGAAAAAATAGAAGGGAGATTTCCTTGTTTAGCTGATATCTCTGGAAGGCGGAGATTTGGTAAAAAATACAAGAAGTGATTTTTTTAGAGAATTTTGTGGACTACAAAAAAGGTTTTTTGACAATTGTCTATAAATTGAATAGTTTTAGAGATATTTGCCGAATGAAATGTATGGAATATTTGGAATTTATTCATTTTGATATAAATTTTTAGATTATTCTGTAAATATCTTGAGATTTAGCTGATTTAGTGAAAAATGTTGAAAGAACACAGAATTTTATGGGCTACAAAAATGGTCATCTTCCATTATAAGCGCTGAAAGGTCAGTGAAATGGTAAATGTTCAGAAATTTAAGGATATCCAAGTACTTTAGCTATTTTTTCTCCAGCGCAATCATTTTCTACTTTTGTAGTTGAACATCAGAGTTTTTATTGGAGCCCTATTTGACATTTGATTTTATATTATTTAAACTTTGCAGGTCTGAATTTGAATCTCGATATTGAACCGTTAGAAAACATTTTTAAAATCTTCAGAAAAATCAGAAAGTTAACTTTTGGAGGAAGATTGATAACACAATTAAAAAATTGTCATTTTTGAAAATTAGCAGTATTTTCTACGAATAATTTATCAACAATTAATTTTTCACAAAAAAAATCATTTGTTAGGAATCATAAAAAATTTATTCATATTCAGAATTTTACCAAAAATCGATTTCATGCCTAAAAAATGAAGTTTCTGGACGTTTAAACAATTTCAGTTATTCATTTATAAACAACGAATGTTTAAAATAATAATAATTCGGAGCAAAATGTAATTTCAATGACGCTGAACATTCATGATTTTTAAAAATTTTTTCTGAGGCAATTTAATGGACAAATTTGATGATTGAAAATGGTTGAATCTGTAGTGTGCTCTGCACCAAACTGTAAGAGATACTTGGATATCCCCAAATCATTCATTTCGAAAACATCTCTGAAGCGTGTATATTCAGCAAAAAGCCGAAGGACTTTTTTCGTAGTTCAAAGTTCCCGACAAAAAAGTCTATTCACATCTTTCTTCAACACCCATGTCAGACATATTTCGAAAATGATAAAGTTAAATAGAGAATAGGGGTGATTGTGGCAGAATGGACACTGAAATTTTTTGAAATGTTGATAATTCGTTAAATTTCAAGTAAAATGGCATAATTTAAGTAGTGGAGCTGTGAAACGGTTTAAGTCGACTTGGCTCTCAGCTAAGTTTTTGAGGAATATCTCCGAATCTAGGTGAGATAGCGAAATTTTCGTAGTCACCTTTTTCATAGCTCTCAATTCGCTCTACAAAAAAGGTAGTGACAAAAATTTTGCTATCTGCCCCAGATTCCTCGATATTCATTGAAAACTGCCGAATAGTCAAAATCGACTTAAACTGTTTCACCGTTTCACGACTGATTTCTTCCCTACAAAAAATACGATCCTCTTATAAAGAGCCCAGACTGAACTAAATCGAAGAATTTCACCGAGAAAAACGTCAAGTGTCCATTTGGCCCCATCCTCCCCTCCAACAAAATTCAATTATAATTTATCAGCTATTTTGTAGATATTTAAACAATGGATTCACCATTTCTTCCCTCATAGAACCATTGATACTCCTCCTCAGTTCCTGGCACCTTGGACTCCTCGATCTCCACCAGCTGTGGTCTCTCCACAAAATCCGCTGGAATTTCTTGTCTGCACATCGGGCACTTTTTACTCTGATTAGCTACCCCCTTGACGCAGAGGTAGCAAAAAATGTGTGTGCACGGTAATTTTGCAGGGTGAATGCATTGCTGCAGGCAAACGGCGCACTCCAAGGACGTGGACGTTCCTGTCAACAGAATGTAAAAAAAATGAATTCTGCGTCTCCACTTGATTGAGTAAATTCAAACAAGAAAGAGGGAGAATAGGACAAATAGGGCCAAATAAATCGATGACATCATCTCTCTCTGTCTTTGTGCCCTCTCACTCTCTCGCCCTTTCTCTCTAAATGACGTCTCCAACAAAGACGAAAATGTATTCGTCAACATTTCGTCAGTCCCTATTGAACTTGAGAGGCAAAGGTTGTTCAGGTGAAACAGGGCAAAATCTAATTAATTTTCTTCTACGTCAGGGGAATGAATGAGGCAATGAGGGAAGTTCTACCTTGTTTCTCCTCTTTTATTGTCTCCTCGGTCAGGTCTACGGTTTCCACCGCTGCTTGGGCCATTGGTCCGAGGTGCTGATGATGCTGATTATCTAAACTATGTGTAATGTGTAAACGCGAGGACAAAAGACGAAGAACAACGGACTTGGGTTCACTTCGAGGAAATGGACGTAAATATAAACACAACACGTACAGACACGCTGTTGTGTGACAGTGTGCTAATGGCGATCCTCGTGAGCACCGTTGCCAGGTCTTATTCCCTCAGAGCCTCAGAGCCTCAGAGAAGCGGCGGAGTGGGGACGAAGCGGGAGGCTAGGTGACTGTTTGAAAGTCTTTCGTTGTGCAACATTTCATTAGGAAGTTGAACTGAGCTCCTTTCGACAATTAGGGGTGAGTAGGGTAAAATGGACACTTTAGACTTTTGTGTTAATTACTCACAACTCAGAAATAAATTTATCAATTAAGCTCAGTTTAAGCTCATCACAAAGGGAAAGGATTGTTCTTTGCAATGAAAAAAAAATTATGACATTTTATCAACATTTCAAGCCGTGATTAACATTTTAAAAAAAGTCAAAAGTGTCCATTTTACCCCAACCTCCCCTATTACATACTCTAAAGGATAGGTTCCGTTCTATTTCTGTTTTCATCCGCTGAATGATCTCGCATAACTGAAATTTATGAAGAGTTAGAAGACTAACAGCAAAAATTTCAAATGTTTACTGACACCTTCATGGGTGGTATAAGATTCCAATGTTTCGAATACTTTTTATGAACGGGTATAGGTACAAATTTTTTGTCGAAATTTCAAGTTGATATCTGGATTTTTGCACGAGCTAGCGTGATTAGTTTTTTTATGAACAAACAGAAAAATGGGAGTATCTCGAAAACTTTGTATGAACTGGTATATATGTTTTGACTGATTCAGATAGAAGGCACGGAATTGAATATTTTGAAATAAAAAGTGAAATCGGTTGCGTAGTTCCGAAGATATTAGATATCAAAGATTTTCCGAAAAAGTCGACTATCTTCGAAACTACTCTGATGCGATTGAACCCATCTTCAGTACGAACCATTGTTATTATGAGAGGAAGATTCTGTCCACATTTCAAGTTCATATCTCGATTTTTGCACTAGCTCTAAAGTGATTAAAAATTTTTTTGTTTCATGAAAAAACAGAAACACGGGAATATCTCGAAAAGTTTGTATGAACGGGATATGGGGTATTCCATGTGAACTCACCCAGGTCAAAACCCTCACCATCGCCAATCATATTGCCGATTTGTCCTGTGGTTGTATATGGAAAAATATGACTTCTCAAATTTTTTCAAATTTTTTGAGGCATCCTGTGGGCAGCCATGTTTTTTTTGCAAGTTTTATCTTCAAATGCCTGTAACTTCCGTAAAAATCAACCGATTTGAGTTTTTTTTACAAAATGTGCGTCTTCGTACACACTTTCCATATAAAAATATGCCAATTTTTTTCAATTCGTTCTTCCATCGATTTCTTCAGAAAAACTTCAAAAAACAAATCGTTTTCAAAGTTGGACCCTTTTCATATTTTTCAAAAAATTTCAGTGAATATATTGGACCAAAACAAAATTTTTCACCAAAGGCCGAAGTTGGGAAAGTGTGTTCGAAGACGCACATTTTGTAAAAAAAACTCAAATCGGTTGATTTTTACGGAAAAATAGAAAAATACTTGATAATGCAAATTTCCAATTGATTTTCTGAGGCTTTACTGCAGTGTACTTTAAAAACTCGGAAAAGGTGCGGCGCGGCGCGCATAGCGCGACCAACGGAATGTTAATTGACCTGTGGGATCTATACTACTCGAAAAAATCTCTTTTATACATGAGTATTCGAAAGAAATAAAAAAAAAATTGTCCAAAATGTTGAGGCCGGATTTCCTTACGATATTTCGTGAAATGATTCATCTCATTCCGATAGTCCCAGGATCGACTCACATCGACCAGAGGATAACATACGCCCACTCCGAAGTTTAGGCACGCACTAGTTTTTCAGAAAACGGGGACCATAGTGCTGTTATAAATTATCGAGTCAGTTCAAGTCTGAACTCAGAGGCGTGCACGTTCATTACTCATTTGTCGTTGTCTTGGTCCTCGTAAGCATGGATCGTTGGGTTGGGAAAATTGTTGTTGTTACTGGTGCCTCGGCTGGAATTGGCCTGGCGACGACTAGGGCCCTCATTAAACATGGAATGATAGTGGTTGGCCTTTCTAGGAGGAAACAGAAGATGCTGGTGAGTGATGATCAACTCTCACAGGATGAACGCTTTTTTGTATTCCCTACAAAAGCTTCTTTAAAAACTTCTTAAATTCTACGAATAACTTAGGACGAGATGACAGATTTGGCGAATGCTAGAGGGAAGTTCCACGCATTGGAATGCGATGTCAGTAAGAGGGATAGCATTGCAGAAGCGTTTCAATGGATCAAAGAAAATCTGGGAACTGTTCAAGTTCTGATCAACAATGCAGGATATATAGCTCTTGGAACGTTCACTGGTATCAATTGCTTCAGTAAATATTTTCAACATACACCCAAAAAAAACAGCACTGATTCAAGTCGACGTCGGTTTGATTTTAACCGATTTTCGGCTTGATTCAGACCGCCTCATTTTGGGTGGCATTTACGATCATTCGGAATAATGAAAAATGGATGAATAATTCAAACAGACACAACACCAGAAACTTGGCAGGGTGTCATTGACGTCAATTTAATGGGCTCGATCCACTGCGCTACAACAGCTGTCAAGATGATGCAGGAAGCGAAACTGGAAGGGCACATCATCAACATAAACAGGTGACTCAAGTTCTTCAAAGGGAACAATTCTTTTTTGTTGCTCTCATTAACACAAAAAAAAACATTTGAAATCATAATTTCCAGCATCGAAGGCCATCGCATTTACTTGTGCAATGGAAATCCTTTCAATATTTACGGAGTGACAAAACACGGAATTACTGCCTTCACTGAGACACTTCAGCGAGAGCTAATGGGGCAGAACATTCGGGTCACAGTCTGTTGAATACATTACAATCATTCCACACATTCGAACTTATTTCTTAATCAATCAACGTCATTCAATTTTAGAGCTTGAGCCCGGGGCTGGTGAACACGGAGCTATTGAATGAATACGGTGATGGAGCGACTCTGTGCGAGGTACCGGGTCTGGAACCTAAGGACATATCCGATTCGATTATTTATGTTCTGGGAACACCGCAGAGAGTGCAGGTCACCGAATTGATAATCAGACCTTTGGGGGAGAGGGCTCTCTAATTATTTTATTTCTTATGCGAATATATTGTAAAATAAAAGCTTTTTTATAGTTCATAAAATTATACTCATAGAGAAAAAGAGTTTTTATTTTCAGGAACGTACACTGTTGGCAAATTACTCTTGTAGTTTCAAGTGAAAAAGCTTGAAATTTTTAACCCTTTACGTACGGTGTCGATACCATGCATCGACCCATAAACTTGTCCTATCGTCTGGGGTCAATGCATGGTAGCGACCCTTTCCGTCAACAGTAAAAAATCATTTTCTCGAATTCTAAAAAACATATTGACATTTGGAAAAAATATTTGGCAAGTCAATGGAATTGTCGCCGCAGTGAACTATTTATTTCATTTTTTTTCAATGCATTTATAATATTTTTTTCTATGAGTAAAAGTTGTAGATGAAAATTTCACATCCATCCGATTCAATCATATTAAATCATCTCGTTTATCGACAAAATTTCCCCCAAAAATTTTGAAATTTTTACTGAAAATACTTCAATGATCCTTCTATCGAATGGTTGAAGTTAATTTTCGATTTGTTGAATAATTTGTTTGTTATAAATAAATTTAACATGTTCGAAGATCTTGGCAATCAATTGTCGGCATACATTGAAATTGGTGTAAAAAATTAGGAAATTCTCTAGGAGTTTATTTCAAAGTTCAATACAGCCAATGCATTTTATTTCAATTCTTTTCGTTCAATTGTTTTCAAGTTATCGTTCATTGAATAACGGAGTTGACGCGCTGTAAGTCTCCTAGCTGTTGGGACAATCCGCGTTAAATAGGCGCAGCATGGCATTAGAGGGGCCAATAAATACAGAATCAACATTTACTTGTCGAAAAAATTCGATTTGGGCGAAAGTCGACTTTCAGCCGGGAAAAATCCAAGATCTGACACTTTGGCCCTGGGTGAAAAAATTGTACATTACATGCCCGAGCCTTGGAAGAGATCACCGTCCCACACGCGCAAGATTGCCTTCCGAGCCGAAGGCGAGGATGGTAAGCACGTGGGGGAGGGTGTTATGTTTTCCAAGGCTCGGGCATATAATGTACTATTTCGTGTCACGGGACCTGAAAAACCCCATTTTCATGGTGCACAGCGGCTCGGATATGTAATGTACTTTTCCCCCTGGGAAAACCGAAAATCTGACCCTTTGGCTCCGAGTGAAAAAAGATTTTTTTCAGTTTTCACTTTTTCCACATACTTTTGATAGTTTTGAACAACCCGTCACTCAAATCGTTGGAATCAACGTTCACCCGGCTAAAAAATTCGATTTTGGCGAAAGTCGACTTTCCCTCTGGAAAAACCGAAAATCTGACCCTTTGGCTCCGGGTGAAAAAAGATTTTTTTCAGTTTTCACTTTTTTCACATTCTTTTGAGAGTTTTGAATAGCCCGTCGCTTAAATAGTTGGAATCAACGTTCATCCGGCTAAAAAATTCGATTTTGCTGAAAGTCGACTTTCCCCCTGAAAAAATCGACAATCTGACCCTTTGGCTCCGGGTGAACAAAAAAAGAGTGAAACCGGAGAATTTCGCGTTTTACCCTCATGATCGTTTTGCTCCACCCTTCCATTGGACCATTATGAACGTTTTCTGTAGTCTGGGAATGAAACCATTTTGATCTGGAAAACCGAAAAAAGTCAAATTTCGAGATACAATTCAAAAGTTGAGCGTAATGCATTAATTATAAATTTCACGGAAATTTTGAGTAGCTAATACTTCTGAGCTGAAACGTCATAACTTCCTCAATTGTAAACATGTTTTGAGTCATTGTTGACGGTTATTATTTTTTTAAATTTTTCCTTGCCATATATACCCTATTCGAGTCTTACATATTTGCGGTTTCATGGGTCGACTTCCTCTCCAACCGTGTCGCATTGTACCCCACAAGCTGTACCCCCCGTACAGACTCTCCTGGTGACCAAGGGAAACCATGGAAAACCTTGGTCGACACGGACGTCCATCGACCGAGCTTCATCGGAGAATGTTTTCCTAGCACTTCTCCGATGATTCTCGGTTTCTAAATTTCCTTTCGACGGTTTCCGAAAAATTAAAAATCGCAATTGGCCCAAGCCGGACTCGAATCCGCGCCTCACGGATCCCGCCGTCCGGCCGAGCGATTTAACATTTTTTTTTCTTAACCATGTTTAAATTCCCTTATGAATTTATCATTATCATCGATCCGAGCGATTTTACCACTTCGACCACCGTCGCCGGTTTCCAAAATTGTAAACATTTTTCAACAATTTTTGCTTCCGATTGGAAACTTTGTAATCGTTTAAATTTAAGTTTCGGATTTTTTGCGTTATATCAACCCATTATAATCTAAAAAGCCCGAAAATGCAATGTTTAGACCGTATCCGTATGTACGTGTGTATGTATGTGTGACAAAGGTTTTCTGCCATTGCTCGCTAATGAATCGATGGAATTGAATTATTTCTTTTTCTAAAATGTTGGTATTGTTGAGCCGTATCCGTCGACATTTATTAAAACTTGATTCATTTAATAATTTTTCTTCATTTTTCAATTAAAAAAAAAATAATTGTCCCTCGATAACTAAAAAAAATGTTCTGTATCCATTAAATGATGACTCAATAAATTTGTTAGGATGCCATTTTGATCAGGTTCGAAGATTGAGGCGGTAGCAATAATCGTTGTTTTGATTTACGTATACGAATCGTAGAAAAAATTGAAATCAATTTCCAAGGGGGTGAGGGTCGTTCGTTGACTTATTTGGCAGGGAATACCTAATATGAACTCTCGTCTAGCAAACTCATATTTGCCAGAAAAGTTTCTTTTGGTCAACATCATAATATCTGTAATTCGTTTTCAATAATATAATGTCTTACTCCCCATCAATGTTCCAATGAATTGAAAAAAAAACGCATAACTAATTGCCATAAATACAACTGAAAACTACGCCGTCATCATTTGATATGCGACCTCATAATTATTACTCATCTATGACAACAATTACCATAAATCAATTATTCATTTTCACCATAGAAGGCCACCGCATCTACTTCTTCAATGACACTACTTTCAATATTTACGGAGTGACTAAACACGGAATCACTGCCTTCACCGAGACGTTTCAGCGAGAACTAATGGGGCAGAATATTCGAGTCACAGTCAGTCATACTCTACAATCATTGCATACCCTGTTAGAAATTTTTTGAAATTTCATGGAAGATACTATAGTGAATCTCATGAGAGTGACATTGGATCGAATTTAGGGAAAAAATGGTTATGGAATTTCATGTTTTAAGTAAAATTTACAGAAATTCATGAGTTTTCAGTGGGAGTGAGATGGAAATTTCACAACTTGATTGAATTTTCAGTGGAACATAAATATTCAGAAACCAAATGGCATAAATTTTCACAGTATAATTGAACTGAAACATCAAGTATTTTATTAATTTCCGGATCATTTGAACAGAAAATACCGGAATATTTGATTTTTCAATGACAAGATTTCTTGTAATTTCAGTGGATCTTGAACGCGATAAAAATGCCGAAATTTGGCACGGAAAATTCAGACGAAAATTTTTAACAGTGTACCTAACATTGGAATTCATTTATTACGTACTCAATGTGATTCAATTTCAGAGTTTGAGCCCAGGGCTGGTGACGATCGACATATTTAGTGAATACGGTGATGTGATGGCTAGGTTCCAGGGACCGGCTTATTTGGAACCTAAGGACATATCGGATTCAGTTATTTATATTCTGCGAATGCCGCACTGAGTGCAGATCACGGAGTTGATAATCAGACCTTTTGGGGAAACAGCTCTCTAAATATTCATTTTCTTACGGGAAAATATTTTAAAATATGAGCCCTTTTATAGCCAATAAACCTTTATTCGCAGGAAAAAAAAGTTTCGATTTTTAGGAACACAGCGTTAATTTTTCGGGGAATCCATCCCTACCTTTCAGGAATCTATCCCTAATTTTTAGGGATTAGCGATTGTGAAATTGAACGAGTGCAAAATTCTGGACTTCAGTGATTCCCTCAGTAATTTTTAAGGAGCTGTCTGTAACTTTTAAGAATCTAATTTCACATTATAATATAAGACTACTAGGGGGCTACGCCCCCTGCTCGCTCCGCTCGCCGACTCCCATATGACCTCCATTATCCTTATTTTGACCCCTGTGACCCTCGTTCTCCCCCTCATTGTACCCCTCGTGACCCTTATTTTGACCCCCATGACCCTTATTTGGACCCTTAATCTGACCCTCATTATAATCCTCGTGACCCTTATTTGACCCTGATAACCCTTAATTTCTGACCCTGATTTTTTGACCCCCATAGCCCTTATTTGGACCCTTACTCTGATTCTTGTGACCCGTAATCTGAAAATTCTTCTCTGTGCTTAAAGAATATTAAGATAAAAGAAATAATTACACGAGCAGAATATACAATACAAAAAAATTATCTAATCTTCCGTCACCATTAACTTCTTATAAGTTCAAGTGTTCCAATCAAGATGCACAATAATGCAAAATAAAATTGCATAGTCATCATGTCCTGTTGTTTTCTACCGCTCTACAACTGCGACTGACAACTCAGCAACAAATAATAATTTTCCATTAACGATAGCGTCGGAAAACCTGGTTTAATCGCCGTGTTACGCAATAATAGTGGATAAAGCTAATGTGGTCCGCGGAGCAGCTTTGAATACCTCGGAGCCACTCTCGTTACGCAGTTGCAGCTGAACGATAATCAGTGACGATAGTGATTCTCTTGGAAAGTTGATTGGGCTGCGAGATTGATTTTGGACGACCAAGATGGACCGCTGGGCAGGAAAAGTCGCTGTTGTTACTGGAGCATCCTCTGGAATTGGATTGGCGACTGCGAAAGCACTTGTTCAGAATGGAATGGTCGTTGTGGGATTAGCTAGGCGGAAGGAGAAAATGGAGGTAAAAACTGTGCATAGATTTCTTTTTTTATTTTTTAAAAATTGTTATTCCGAATTTTAGAGTGAATTGGCAAATATTCGGGGAGCTACAGGAAAGTTCTATGCGGTGAAATGCGATGTGGCTAGGGATAATGAAGTGGCGGAGGCTTTTGAGTGGATCAAAAAAAATGTTGGGAAGGTTCAGGTTCTGATCAACAATGCGGGCATTGCGAGCGGCGGAAAGTTCACTGGTAATGAGGAATACTCTACTTCTTTGATTAAACTAGTGTATTGTGTTATTGGTGCTATTTTTTGTGATACCTGCCGAGTTCACTGTTCGGAACGGTAGTAGGGGTAATGCGCAGCTTTACGTACGAGAATTCACTTTACGCTAGTGATGCAAGACAAGACAAGAATTACGTATTTCTTGTCTTGTTTTGCAATTTTTGGGTTTTTCTCTTGTCTTGTCTTGTTCCAATTAGCAAGAGAACCACCTTGACGCGGTTCTAGGAATCTTCCTCCCCAGAAAAAATCTCTCGGACAAAATCCCCCTGGACAATATCTCCCAAAAAAACTCCGGACAAAATCTCCCCCCAAATATCTCCGAAAACTTATTCGTACTATCACAACGATATCATCGATCATACAGTTAATATGGGAAATACTCCCCCCCCCCAGGGAAATACCTCAGAGCTATTCTCAAATAAAATAGAGAAAGGAAAAGAAACATAGAAATATAAATTTTAAAAATAAACCTTTGTAAAAATTTTTTTATATCGAATTTGATGGTTACCCTCTCCAGGGAGATTTTCTTTGAGAGGTTTTGTCCGGGAAATTTTATCCGCACGGAGAGAAATATTCACTTGTAATGCCACAAGAGCTTCAAAATTATCGGGTATTTTCCGATAGGTTCGTTTGTATGCAGGGAACCTTGAGGAAAATGCCCGATTAATTTTGAAGCTCGTGTGGTATTCGGGGGATTATTTTTCCATTCCAAATGTCGGGCAATATAATTGGATTTTTTAGGATTTTTCTAAAAAATTTCTCTCCGTGTAGAGGGTTAAAATGAAATTTTTCTTTTCTGTATTTTTTTTCCAATTTTATAGAAGTGGATAATGCTATATTAAAGAATATCATGGAGGTCAATGTCATGGGGACAATTTATTGCACCAAGGAAGCCCTCAAAGTATTACAAGCTGATAATTTGCCGGGACATATCATCAATATTAACAGGTACATAATTTTTAATGGAGTTGCTAAAATTCAGCTTCAATCTTCCAATATAATTATAAACCGAATGGTGACGGAAATTCATCAATTTTGGGTTTCACTCTCCAGTATTGTTGGACACACTGTTTTGAAACCCATGGGCAGGGACCTAAACATCTACGTGGCGAGTAAATACGCAATCACCGGATTTTCTGAGACTCTCGTCAGAGAATTAATGGGCCAGAATATTCGCGTAACGGTGAATTGAAAACATTAAATAACGCCCTTTCATTCAATAATTTTCTTCATGATTTAATATTTCTCATATTGTTTTTCATTCATAATTTATTTCAGAGTTTGAGTCCAGGACTTGTGAAAACCGAAATAGTTGGGAGTGGACTTAAGGATTTAAACATTTTGGACTATCCATTTTTGGAATCTGAAGACATTGCCAATGCCATTATCTACTTGCTCGGCACACCACAGAGGGTCCAAGTGAAGGAGTTACTCATTCCACCATTGGGCGAAAACTTTCTATAATTTTTATTCATGACGCACGAAAAAAAAAAATAGAATAATTCAACAAACTTCGATAGAAATCCCTATCAAATTTATTAGAGATTTCTGTGCAAATTTATTGAACTATTCTAATTTTATTGTATTTCCGCCAATTCTGTTGATGAATTCCGCACCTTGTCTAGTATAAACTATTTCATTGGAAAAACCAGTAGAATTTCATCTTTCTATACAACTTTCTCCATCGAGACATTTTCTATAAGAATTCATCGATACGAATTTTTCAAATTTTATTTCACTCTGTTTTGCTTCTCTTTTCATTAAACAAATCAAACAAAGAAACATGGATTGTTTGTGCCGCCGAATTTCCACAGAAAATATCTCAATGGAATCAGTTGTATAGATAAATGGACTTTACTTTTTTCTATAGAATATGTTGTATTGACCATTTGTATTGAAAGAAATGCGCTGATAAGCTGTGCAATTTTCCTATAGAAATCGGCCAAAAACTAAGCTGAATAAAAATCCAATACAATTTTCGAAAGAATTTGCAAGGTTTTTCTATGGATTTTTTTCGTACGCGTTAAAAAAAACAGTATTTAAAAACGGGTGCAGTACTTTAGGAAGACAATGAAACATAAGAGCATACGAAACGATTGCCCATTCAAACCATATGCATAAAGTTGTTTAACCGATGTCAACAGCGATGTAACATCACGCTATATGATCATTTACAATTGAAGAATTTAATAAACAATTATTAATGTGTTCCACCTTAATTACACAAACGTTTTTGTCCTATCATCAACCCTGACCTTCCCATGATCATCGAGAGAATATTTTATGTAAGGAGAGAAAAGTCGCATAAAAATTACTACACGGAGAGAAATACTCAATAAAAATTACGTTGTATAACCCGGTGGCTTGGCGCGGTGAGTGCGATCTAACCATTTAAAGTCTTGATCATCATCGATCTCAGATAGATCGTTTCACTTCTCTCTTCCCCGGTCGAAGCGTAATGAGGAGGCCGGGGGCGGAGAGGAGGAGTTTCTCAGTAGGCCATCTGGGCAAGTGGAGGCCAGAGCTCTAGATCTCGGCTCGTTCAATACAACAGTCGATGATAAGATCATTCACAAGACCAAGGATCATCAAAAATGAAAGTTTAGCGCGTAGCTTTCTAACTGACATCCGGTGGATGCGGGTTCGAAACCTACCGCCAGGCTTACCTACAGGTTCCAATCGCGGAGTCACACCGCTACTTTCTGCGTCTCGTGTACGACCAGAAACTTTTACAGCTGACGTGCTTGCCCTTCGGCCTCTCAGCTTCCCCTCAGCTCTTCGGGACAGGAACGAACTGGGTTGCGGAAACCCTTCGGTCGCGAGGGATGAGGGTGATAGTGATATCAGCCTCATCCCCAGGGTTCTAGCATACTTGAACCAGTGCAGAGGTCAATACCTTCTGGTAGCTCCCACCTAGCGCCAAACTTTCTGGCTTCCAGATCTGGAGAACAGGAGCTTAGAATCATCTTGGCTAATTCCCGATTTTCAGAAGGTCCTAGTGGATCTCACCACTGGCGCTTGAGTGGTCGACGGGGACTCGCACCGGGCGGCGCGTCGCTGCTTTTCTGTCCGTTCGACGTTTCTTTTATTTTTTTAGCTAAACAAATTTCCTGAGAAAATAACGGAGAACGCCAACGCTTAATAAGAGGATTGAACTAGGAACTCTAATTTTTTCAGAATTTTTAAGCGTCGAGAAACACGTTATAGTACATTATGTCATCAGGTGATAAAAGTATTATCTGGCGAATGTGACTTTATAATCCGAGCCGAAGGCGAGGATTATAATCACATTCGTCAGATAATACTTTTATCGCCGTGTGACATACAATATTTTTCGTCGCTGGGCCTGAAAACCGCGATCTAACCGAGCAAAGCGCGGTTAGAATCGCGGTTTTCTCGGGCCTAGTGACGAAAAAATATTTAAAAAACGTAAACGGGCACCGCCGCACTCATTGAGCGAGTGATCGAGCCACCAATGAGTGCGGCGGCGCCCATGTCACCAATTTTGGAGAATCTATCCCACTCCTGAGAACTTTCTCATAAGGAAAAGGATAAAAATTAACATTTAGAATAATACTTCATTTATTTATCAATCTCTCAATGATGTAATGATAGAATATTGAACATCGTGTAACAGCAAATTCCGTAATGAAAATATCGACATCACTCCTTAATTAATAATTATCAATTCTTTTTATCACTAAAACTACACGAGGCAGTCTATGACATCGTATTAATACCATTCAATTTACATTTAATCTTACATTTTTGTCTGCACTGGGGAGTCTGAGGAGGGGAGAAATGAGAATGTGACTAGGGATAATTCACCGCACCGCTGTCTCTTCGACACAAAACCTATCGTACTACCCGGTACATTATTTTGTTCCATTTTTGTCGAGTTTTTCCCATTTTTAAAAATTAATTAATCTAGGGATAGGATGGACTCAATGGATGTTCGGTTTTTTGGCTGTAGCCGAGGACCTCCGAGGTAGCTCAATGGATTCGAAAATGTTCGCATGTCCTCAGCGAGAAATATTGGGGCCATATTCAAAGCTTTCATCTTCGTGCCTTCTGTAATGTGAATTAAAAAAATCAATCATTCAATTATTATTTTTTTTCTAATCATGTATTTATTGCAATGGAGAACAGTTTCAGAGGGAGATATTGAGAGGATTCTTGTAATTTTTTTTTATCGAGGGGAGACTGAAGCGATATCAATTACTAGGAGAATGGATTAATTATTATATCAGAATTTGGGGAACTTTTTTTTTCGTTCTTAATTGAGAGTCGAATGCTCTTGAGACTCAAACGACCCTTAGGGACGTTTGAAGTTGAGGGTCAAATCATATGAATGTGCATACGATCTTTAAAACCGTGTAGGGTTTTGACCGTCAAGTCAAATTAGCATTTTTGTGGTATCTGCCTCAAAAGTGCACTTTTCGAAACGGTTTAGTGTGCGTAAAGTGGTTGTTTTACGCACGCTCTTGAACTTTACGCACTTGTGTGAACTCGGCAGGTACCACAATAGTATATTTCGTAACGAGTGCAAAAAACATTTTTTCATCACGCTGTGACGAAAAGTGAACTTTTCTGCACGCTCCGCGTGCCTAAAAGTCCAATTTCCGCCACATTGTGATGAAAAATATTGTTCGTAACTCGTGAAAAAATGTTTTTTAGCTCGTGGGATCATATCACTCGCCTTCGGCTCGTGATATAAACCTCCCACTCGCCAAAAAACACTTTTTTGTACTCGTTACGAAATATACTATTTCACGAGTTACGAACAATATTTTTCATCACAATGTGCCGGAAAGTGGACGTTTAGGCACGCGGAGCGTGCCGAAAAGTTCACTTTTCGTCACAGCGTGATGAAAAAAATAGAATGTGCTACACGTGCGCGTGAAAAAGTAGAATTTTACGGACTAGTAACACAATATACTATTTTGACACTGCTGCTACGTTCACCTCGTCCCGAAAAGTCTTCTCGTTTACTTGTAAACGAGAAAGACAGTTCGGCCACTCGCTGAACGTAACATCACTGTCAAAAATATTGTTCGACACATGTGAGACAGGAATTTTCAGCTCGTGTGATTGGTAGCCCTCGGCTTCGCCTCGTGAAAATTTCGTCTCACTCGTATCGAAATATATAGTATATATTTTTCTACTCAACGCTGACGGGAAAACGACTTTTATCATCACCAGAGTAAACTAGAAGAGTGACTTGAGACATTTAAAAAATTTCAGCAAAATATTTAAACTTTTAGGGGATATTTTCGATGGAGTGAAAATTTTTGTAAGAGAAAGTCTCCTAGCGCGCTTACTGACGGAAAGTATTCCTCAAGAACACAAAGATATATTTTTCACAAACTTTATTCATTAAATAAATAAATGGGTTCCTATGTATTCTCTCAAGAAATAAGGAGTAAATGAAAAAAAAAACGAATAAGAAACGAACCTGGAGTCGTTGCTTGTGACTTGGACTGTCTTCCTTGGATAAAGGGACCCTGTAAATAAATTCTCTCCTAATCAATCATCAATTAATGATGAAAAAGCATAAGATGCAACATGAAGGATCGTGAAGGAATCTTCACATGTCCAAGCTCACTTACTTCACATTTCGACTCGCGCAGATGCAACAAACGAATAAATTCAGACAATTTTGACAGCACTGTGAAGTAAAAAAGCAGCCCAAAGCATTGTGCATGCGATGAAATGACGTCAATGATAAAAATAAATAATCATAATCGATTAACATAAATTAAAGACATAACATTTTGCAAAACAAGCGGTTGGATGATAATTCGTATATTTGATTATTTCTCTGTTGTAACATGCTATAATTTCTTTATTCTTCATTCGAAATATTCATATTCGACCAGTTCTTATGCACTAAAAATTATGTTAATTTTCATTCGCTTCGTTACGTCCAATCAATGAATGGATCAATCAGACAATTCTCTGGAGATTTAATTAGTGATACCTCTAAAGTTGAAACGTCACTTGCGTTTCCGGTGATTTCGTTATGGAGTTTAATGGTATCACATTCTCATTCTCCTCGATATTCTCTTTAGACCACATGATAATCTGAAAACGTTCAGTACCAATGATTGCAACTAAAAATTAATTTCCTCCTGTTTCCTTCAATTAAAAGAAAACAAAATCAAATGAGCATTAAAATAAAACAATGATAATGAGTGTTTCGTTCAATTAGGTCACATTGAGATGTGTCGCCACCAATTTCAAGCACTCACACGTACACACGTTACTTATAAGCGCGAATAAATTAAAACATTGCTGGTGTTCCTAGTAGATGACATCAACCCCATAAATTAATTTCTTGAGATTATTGTGCTCCTTTCGATTAATTATTTTGATTGATGAGATAATTTGTGACGTTGTTAGACTTCCTTCCAATCGTTTTTACATGTTCAAAAGGTCGAGATCATTTTCTTTAGTTGAGTAAATGACTTTTTAGAAAGTTGTCTTTTAAACAAAAGAATCCTGTTGCTATTTCTGTAAAAACCCCCTCTCTCAAGGTATTCTATAATTTAAAAATCATACATATTCTATTGGATTCCTATTGGAAACTCCATCAGCTTTACTGTGCATTTGTTTTTCAGTAGAAAATATTCTTCAGGAAAGATAATAGAATTTGATTTTTCTATATAACTTATTCCATTTAGATATTTTCAATAGAAATTCTTTGACATAAAATATTTTGCGACAGAGAATAAGGATGACAAGGGTCAGATTAAGGGCCCATATAAGGGTAACAAGGGTCAGATTTAGGGTCAGATTAAGGGTCGGATTAAGGGTCTAAATAAGTATCATAAGGGTCAGATTAAGGGCCCAAATAAGGTTAACAAGGGTCGGATTAAGGATCTAAATAAGTGTCATAAGGATCAGATTAAGGGTTAGAAATTAAGGGTTATCGGGGTCAAATAAGGGTCACGAGGATTATAATGAGGGTCTGATTAAGGATCCAAATAAGGGTCATATGGGTCAGAAACTAAGGGTCACAAGAGTCAAAATAAGAGTCTTAATATCTCTCTATATTGTAAAAATTCAAATCGACTTCTGGTGGTGAAAATTTGGTGCTCGAAATAAAACTCCAAAATTAAGAGTCAAAATAAGGGTTGCGAGGGGTATAATGAGGATGACAAGGATAAAGAGGGTAGTATGGGGGTTGGCGAGTGGAGCGTACAGGGTGCGTAGCCCCCTAATTCACCCTAAAATTCAGTGGGATTTAATTTCAATAGAATCGCCGAAAAACTAATAGTCTTCAATACAAGTCCCATAGAAATCCAACATAATCTTTCCATAAATTTTCACGTAAGTGTACTCATTAACATCCACGAAAACATTAAACGGAACCCTTCGTCTGTATTGCATTCAACCAAAGAAAATAATTTCCGAGTTAGAGCGACCGATTGAATCACATCTTTGGCACATCGATTAATTTAGCAGTGACTCTCTCCCCATGAATGCTCTCAGGTCGTCTGACATATCCCAAAACAGATCCAGTAAGATCCAGACTCAATGGTCTCTCGTTTCCCCTATGATTATCCTCAATAGAAACCCCGGTCATAAACTCGTTGGTTTTTATCTCATTGAGCCCAGTGACTGAGAAATTAGTCTCCAACAGACGTTTTCCCGAGGGTGAGATGCCACGAAGCTCGCGGTGATGAGGATGATTTCTTACCGGAGTGGGCTTGACGAGTACTTCAGCCTCAGGATTACTGATGACACTTGGATCAGTCACTTCTTCATCCTCCTCCTCCTCTGCCTCCTCCTGCTCTCTCTCTTCCAACTCTGGCTCCTCCGTCAGATCTTCCATTGACTGAAAATCAAGGAGAAATAGAAGTGGAGTTGGGTGTTTGGTTGGTTTGGGGTGGGACATTCCTTTTCCACCCGCAGAAAGCAACATGCGAACTCGAAATCGTTTTTTCATGCAGATCATTCGGTATCAAATCCCGTTTTCCAGATGAATGGAAAAACGTGAGGAAATTAATTCGAATTTTTTGGAAATATGTTGATCTTCATAATGCATAGTCCGAGGAGAAAATATTTTATACTGAGAGAAAGATCGCCATATCAGAAAATTAATTTATGTTTCTACACTAAAAGGAAAGTCGACATAATATCACGAAAATCATTTCTTAAGCGAAAAACATTGCATACATATTTGATTAATTTATGGTAGATTTCAGGCAAGAAATCGGTGCTCTTCGGGCTAAAGAGGAAGTTACTGAATGAAAAGTTGGTCTTTTTTTTTGG